CTCAATCCATAAATCAAAATCCAGCGTTTAGCATTAAAGTTTTTTTTTAACAAATATCGATTGCTCCGTTGTGTGAACACCACTAATTGATACAGAATTTTTTCCTCTTTAATTTAAAATCTACCATTTTTCTTTTTCAGGTTATGAAAAACACCCTTTTGTACAGTCTATATCAATGTCGTTTTAAAGTCTGTCAGCATTTTCTTGAGATTTTACTTTGATATAAATTTTAGTATAAAAGTAATTTGTGGTATAGATGTCACATCGTAATACATCGGTACATTGAAAAAATATGTTAGTTTCATGTCATTGACTTTTGGTAAAAAGTAATTTCCAATTTGCCTACTAAATAGGCTAGGTAATAGAAAGTAATTTAGAACTAGTATGGAAGTAATTTGTAGAGTGATTTGCCCCTCGCCCAGAACAGTTTTATGTTTGATTTGATATTAATTTGGAGGCTATTCATGTAATTACTGTTCAATTTTCAGTTTGCATTCCCTTCTAAGATCAGAGAAAAACTGGTAATCACTGTCCATAGCGGTTCTTTTCCACTTGAGTCGAGCCTTATCTATCTTTTTTAATTTACTTCTTAAATCAAAGTCAAACCAGAAGGGGTACTTTGATTTCTTCCCGGAAACTGCGGTATGTTTCTGAATAATGCCAATAAGTATGGAATAAAATTGTATCATGCTAAGGCAAATATATCCACAAATGCTAATGAATGTGTGAAATATTTTGTGCTATTGATATACCAGAAAATAAAAACCTATGACTCTTGCAGCAATATTTAGCCATATTCTGATGCGGTACTAAACGAGTTTCTCGAATTTGTCTTTGGTACTGATTCTAATAGTATAACGGAATTTTCATTTTCACCTATTGACTATGAAATACAAGGTTTAATTGAAAATCTTCAAAAACCCTTTTATTATTCGTTGAATATTTCTTTTAAAACATTTCTTTAATATTTATTATTTATTTAGTAAATTAATAGTACATAGCTTCTGTAGGTTTTTGAAGATTTTCAATAAAACCTTGTATTTCATAGCCAAAATGAAAATATTTAGCCATATTCTGACTGAATGGTTATTGAGAACTGTCCTGTAATGGTGCCATGATACCAAATCCGTGTGTCAATCAAAACTGCATCGCCTGCTTCCACATAGAACGAAAAACTGGAGCACTTTGAATCACATTCTGGGGTGGGGCTTATGAACCAGGTTTTATTGCCTTGCAGTTGAGCTTGCCACATCAATCTTGGAATGTAATCTAGCTGTATACATAATGTATATGAAGACATTTTTTCATACAATATAAAGTCATCACAAAATCAGAATAGTTTCATTGATATTCATAAACTGAAAATTTTAAAATAAATCTGAAACCGTTTAATAGTTACATTTGATTTGATTTGATTTGATTTGATTTAAATTGAAATGAAAATGGATAATTACATGCATTACAGCGCCTTCGCCTTCGCCAAGGAAAGTATAGTCTGTATTTGGTAGCTCTGCATCGGTTGGCAGAAAGTGTGGCCGAGGATAAAGTTCGCGTAATTCTTTCAAGATATTTGGATGGCAATTCGAGAAGCCAACGTACCAAGGCGGGTTGCCACTGTTGACATCCGACTCAGGCATATTAAAGAACTCATTCAACGTAGCGAATACGGATTTGAAAGGCAAAAATTGGCATTCATTACTAAAATGATTTAAAGCGTCAGGCCATCTGTTGTAAACTTCCTTCAAATATTGAAAAGTGAGTTGTTTCCGAGCTTTCCAATCCATAAAAGCATTCTTGATGATCATCGGTTGCGGTAAATAGGCGTATCGCTTTTACAAAAATCGACAGATTAGATAAATGAACAATAATAAATAAATAAATGGAATCGCAATGCCCCGGGACCAATTCCAATCTGAATGTTCTTCTAATTTCTGATGTTGTTACAATTTCTTCAAAAAACGCTGTATAAAACCTTAAATATAAAAACAACAACATACTTTGATATATATTGAGGAGTATTGTGCGCGAAGCGATAATGAAAAAAGGACAAAAGGACCACATTGAAGCCATTATTGCTAGGGGCTAACCACGGATTTTTTATTGACAAAATCTGTTTTTATCGCCCAATTTTAATGACATCCGTAAAAAATTGAAAAAATCTGTATATATTGAATTTTATCGTTTAACCGTTTGTCTGTAATGTGGGGTCTGTATGACCCCAGATACTCTAAATTCGCTATAACTTTTTAATTTCAAGTTTTATGATGTTATAATTTATTGACATCTTCAATCTAGTTGAAACACGTATTTTGAGCACTTATTTGTCAAAATCGGTCCATAAAAACCCAAGATATTCTGACTTGAAGAGAAGACTTACAAATGCTGTAAGATGGGGTCATATGGACCCCAAATTAAAGTGCCCATATTATTGCTAAAATCTTATTTTATCTCATTAAATCAAGAATCTTTTTAAAATCTTCATTTTGAGCCATATTTTGTTCAGATACGACAAGTAGTTTCATTGTTTCGATCACTTCCAAATGGCACCTAAATTGATGAAATTCCAGTTTTTATCGAATTATTACATCTTATTGGTCCATATTTTTCCATGTATAGCTCTCACCAACTCGATATTATACTTATTTTATTCCTTTTGATACGCCCTTTCAAAAAACATAAACTTTTTTCACAAATATTCATAGATTTTTTGAAAATGAAGCAAAATAACGTCAAAAATGTGTATCTGCCAAATGATTCAAGATAGCGGACTAGTACGATGTTTTTAAAATCATCATATCTAAGTAATTTTTGGGTCAATATTGACAAAAATAGGCTTAAAAGATGAAGAATGCCGTAAATTATTGGATCAAAACGATATTTTTGAGAAAAAAATTATTCTTGTTCCATTTTTATCGATTTTTTGTTGGGGTCCATATGACCCCACATTACAGCATTTGTAACTTTCGACTTATTACAGACAAACGTTAATATCGACTATAAACGTTTAATGTGCTGACGTTATTACCTCTTCAAAAATGCTGGAAGTGGGTTTTGGTGGATCCTCAGGATCGTTTAGTACTGCTCCCGGTTCTGGAAGTGGATCATCAGGATGGGCCAGGGCATTGTCAAACCCAGTCTGGTCCATCCTGAAGATCCACCAAAACCCACTTCCAGAATCGGGAGCAGTTCTGAACGATCCTGAGGATGCACCAAAATCCGCTTCTAGAACAGTATGCATTCGTTAAAGCGAAAAAATTACTGCAAAAATCGGGCAAAATCGACTAAAATGTGATCATATCGGAATTTATTTGTTCAAATGATAAAAAATGTTAAAGTCGGTCATTATTGGTTATTTTTAAAACCGTGGTTAGTCCCTAGCATTATTGTTTATTTAATGAATGCTCTGAATGTGTGTAACCAGGGATCGAAAACGGTTTGACGTTTCTCATACAAACCGATTTCGGAACGGTTTCACTGCTTTGCTCTCTGTTCATCGGAGCGAACCATATCAAGCGGAACGTTCTGAGAATGGTTTGTATGGGCAACGTTCAAGCGGGTTGTCACTGTGTTAGTGTCGTATACTAATACACGTAAGCATAAACGTTTCTGTGTGCCATACAAACCATTTTTCAGAACGTTCCGAATGGTTTGGTTTGTTCACACACTTAAACCAAATATTCGGTTTGGTTTGGTTTCGATCCCTGTGTGTAACACATTAGAAATGATTATGATTTTATTAATCTGTGGCGGGATTCTGAAAAACGTTCCAAACATTTTCTCAAATTTTCATGTGAAATGTGAAAATTTTATGAATAAATTCCGTTGTTTTATTTTCGATTGTGATTTTTAGCAAAATCCTAATGTGGCTTCACGAAACAATAGTTTCAATGTCACACGAAATTTTTGGTCCCAAATTCGTGATATCCATATGAATTTACATGGTAAGTTAGTCACAAAATCCAAATGTACCAAAAAATATGCGCATATTTTTTTTATGCCATAGCATATATCTGGCGGATAAGTCAAACTCTGTTTTAAAACACTGATATTTTCAATTAGTCAATGTTTGAATTAAATTTATGTGGATTTTCAAAATCTCATGTTACATGAATCTTCACTGCAAGCTAGGGGCTTCACGCGATTTTGCAGAACGCAAATAACTCTGAAAAAATAAAAATAATAGTGAATCAAAACTTCAACCAAAAATTTGAACCACTTTTGAAGGATTTTGGCAGATTTTGGTGGATTAAGGTGAATATTGGAACATTTTTTGACTATACAATCTGCACAAATTTACTGGTATGCACGTCAATCTCAAATATCTATGTATATTTAATAATATTCATTAGACTGTAATGTCAAAAAATGTTCCAATATTCACCGTTATCTACCAAAATCGTTCAAATTTACGGTTGAAGGTTTGATTCACTACTATTTGCTGCTATTTTTATTTTTCATACGTATACACGTAAATTTGACATATATATGTATATTCAGTAATATTCATTTGTCGTTCACGATGAATATTGTTGAATATACCTGGATATTTCGGATTTGCATGCATACCATTGAATTTCCAATTACTTGATGCGTGGGGATATAAAAGATGAAAAAAATGATTTTACCCCCTAGACTGCAAGTGAATCCTACCTATTGTTTCTCTTTTTGAATTTACTTTTAATTGGCTTCATCAACTCTTAGTTGGGATGGTATTTTTCAATAAATAATGTCAAATGAACGATTAATTCAGCATATCTCCACTCGGTTCATCGAGCATATCTGGCAGAAACTCTGCTAGAAACCAGTTTTGCGATAGGATTTTTCCAAAAATAAAATATTTCATCAAAGACTTTCGTGAAAATATTCACACGAAAGGTTACAGTGGAATGTTGCGAAAATAGAAATCACATAGAAAACAATCAATCGAATTCGTTGTTTTGAAAATCACAAATGTTTTCACAAATCACACGAAAACTTGTGAATTTTTTTTGGAGAGTGTTTAGAATCCCGCCAGTGTTTATGATGTTTTTTTTTTGCATAAATTGTCTCAATATCTGATCAAAGTGAGAACAGATGGAAAGTAAACTATGATTGATTTTAAAACTTTCATTTTTTGAACACTATTTAATCAGTTTGTTGACGATAATGATCGCCCCAAAATGAGCCACTTCCAAAGCTAATATAGCTTAACTGTTGTAATATGAAATGTTTCATTTGGAAATAAAAATGGATTGCTCATATCATAATCACACGCAAACAGAGATGACTTTAGCGCACCCGAGTATTTTTGTTGTTTTCTCATTCTACTTTGACCAAAAGATTTTTTCGTTATAATATTTTGTGTGACATAATAAAGAAGAGCTTAGACCCGGTATTCGCATTGTGTGGTCATATGCACTTAGTAATTACGCGCATTCTTGATACTGCATAATTTATGAAAAGAGCCAGGTTTTTAACGAGGCGAGAACTGAAAGATTACTAAATCGGTGTAAATTATTATTATTATAAATTGATGTAACAGTCTTGCACTCTTTTCCGGCCAAACACTTATTTAAACCTCATTATATTCAGCCAGAGCTTGGCGGTGTTAAATAAAACTAAATGAATGTGGTTTTTCAATAACTGTTCTTTTTTATGTTACACAAAGTATTGATACAAAGTTTTTGTTGGCCAACAAAAAGGTAAAGTATAACGAAAAAAAAAACAAAAAAAAACAACACAAATACTCGCTGTAGCGATAAAGTCATCTCTGCACGCGAAAATTAAAAACCTCGCAAATTAGAAATAACACCTGGAAATTCAATTCTAATTTCTTAGGAGTTCCAATTTGCCGCGAACCGTATTTAAACTTCAACTTTATTAATTTAACATATTTCTAATTCAGCTAGCAACTTGAGCTCAGAGCTACCTGCCCTAAAATTTCATTGACTATCTATCTAGCAGAAAACACATTACAAAAAAGTCCTCAAAAAGGATTATATAAGGATGTACAAATACTAAGAACGGACCCCTCAGCTCTGGCAGGATCCCTATATATTTACATACATTTGTATGGGAATATGTGATGCATTCAAACAAAATTTATTGATATAATTTTAGCACTATGATCATAACTTTCCCGAAGACAGATATCAGTGAATAATTGAAATTTCGTCCAAAAAATGGAAAAAAAATTGTCGTTTTTCTCATTTTTTTGGCCGGTTTTGAAAATAAAATTATAAAAAGGTCCAAATCTGTTATCGTCTCCAACTTTGAAATTTGATTTTCGTCCAAAATTATTCGAAATTCGTCCAAAATATTTAGAAAATGGTCCAAAATATTTTGAAATTCGTCCACAATTTTTCGAAAAATGAATTTGGATTCATGACAAAAGCCTACCTTTTCTTCACATGACTCTCTTAGAAACAAATGGTAAGTAGAAAGAATTGTATGGTTTTGGATGGTGCAACTGCCATGCAGCTATTTTACAGAACAGAGTCATTCCATGAATACTCAGCTAGCTTGCGTGTATCAGCTAAATTTTGCTGAAAATTGGACCGAATCTACATGCTCTTGTCCATATTTCATGCAAAATCCAATTTGCAAGCACACCCTCGCAATCGCTTTACTCAAGCGTGTAGTTTTGTGCATGCCCGAGTCTAACCCCTTAGTTCTCGGACAGAAGCCGGAACGTGGCCAAAAATCAAACGTCAAATCGACCTTGCACAAGCCAAAAAATTGGTTATTGTAAACTCGAAGCACTCTACAATCAACATGGATCTGCTTGAACTGACGTAAAATTTTTCGTCAATTTATCTACCGGTATAAATTGAATGATGACTTTTGCAGTCCTAGAGTCACAAACTAAACGTGTAATTACCTAACGCTTCACATAGCCTTTGTCCTTTTGGAAACGTTTACCAAAGGTTATTCTGGACCGTTTATCATCTGACCACTTACCAAGCATTTCCATCTTGATTGTATGATATATATTTTTATGTTATTTCAAAGAGATACTTTTTAACTTCATTCAGCCACAGCTTGGCTGTGTTAAATAAAAAAATAAATAGATATATACAATACAGATCTGCGATCATTTTCGAAAAAGTAATAGTACAACTGATTTGTGAACATTTACTCGATTTATTTCAATTGAACTACGGAAATAAATTCAAAAATCAAAACCATACAATTCTTTCTACTTATCATTTGTTTCTAAGAGAGTCATGTGAAGAAACGGTAGGCTTTTGTCATAAATCCAAATTCATTTTTCGAAAAATTGTGGATGAAATTCAAAATATTTTGGACGATTCTCTCAATATTTTGTGCGATTTCCGAAATATTTTGGACGAATTTCGAATAATTTTTCACGAAATTCTAATTTCAGAGTTGGAGACGAAAACAGATTTAGACGTTTTTATAATTTTATTTTCAAAACCGACCAAAAAAAAAAATGAGAAAATCGACCAAATTTTTTTTTCCATTTTTGTAATATTTTTTGAACGATTTTATAAAAATTTTGGACGGTTTTTTCATTTTTTTGGACGATTTCTGAAGCAACCGATATCACTTATCTCTTATCAGTTCCGCAAAATACGCAAAAACGGGAAAATCGCGAAAAATCCTCTTTCTCATTATTCGCGGAACTGATAAGAGATAAGTGATATCTGTCTTCAGCAAAATTTTAGAGCAGGTCAAGTACTACAATTTTTGTGAAGATACCATCTCTTATAAGTTCCCTGATAAGAAAGAAATCAAGTTTTTCGCGATTATTTTTTGGGTGCTTTTTCTGGGAGTGATATGTTCAGCGATGTTTCTTATCTCGCTAAGATCTACAAATTTCCCCAAGAGAGCGAAATTCTCAGCCGTTTAGAAGTTGAACTTTCGAAAATCGCCGATTTTTCGTACTTTGGGGGCTCCTGGGGAACCGCCATGTGAACTGGGGGAAGTTATATTTGTACTATTCGTAATCATTTGAACCCAACTATCGAATCCTGGTGGAATTTTGCAGGGATCGAAAACGGTTTGACGTTTCTCATACAAACCGATTTCGGAACGGTTTCACTGCTTTGCTCTCTGTTCAAGCGTGTTGTCACTGTGTTAGGATCGTATACTGATACAAGTAGGCATAAACGTTCCTGTGTGCCATACAAACCATTTTTCAGAACGTTCTGAATGGTTTGATTTGTTCACACACTCAGACCAAATATTCGGTTTGTTTTGGTTTCGATCCCTGGAATTTTGTGAAAAAAATTCTGAAACACTCATACGTTTACTGTTCAGGCAAAGTTGTAGTACTTGGTCTGCCTTACCACTTTGCTGAAGACAGATATGCTTATCTCTTATCAGTTACGCAAAAGATGATAATCAAAAACACCATCCGGTTAGCGGTCTTCTGTGGTTCTTCGCGTATTTCATGTAACAGATAAGAGATAAGTGATAACTGTCTTCAGCAAAATTGTATGGCAGATCAAGTACTACAAGACTTTTCTCAAGACGTCACTTCGTCATCTCTTATTAGTCACGTGAAAAATGAGATGACATGCATAGGCATACCTTATTCCCATACAAATGTATGTAAATGTATAGGGGTTCATCCAGACCCGAGGAGTCCGTTCGAAGGTTTTAAAATTGGTGTCCGTTCAAGGGGTTAATGAAGAAAAAATTATGCTAATCGCTATGAATATTTTTAAATTAACCAGATTTGTGCACACATGCCAGTTCAAACAAGAATTACCAAAAATTCGGCTTTAGTTAAATTCGGCTTGTTTAAAATCAAGGGTCCCTCCACACCAGCACAAAATTCACATCCAGATATTGGTCTGGTCGCTTCATACATTAAATAGTTATTCGGCAAAAAACACCTCACACTTAACAAATATTGAACAGTTGAATAAAAGCTAATTAATCCAACCAATAAACCGAAAATCGTTGTAATATGACTATATAGATTACGTTTCTTCTCCTCGGTATGATATCTTGAATTCCAATCTATGTCAGACAATTCGACAATATTGAAGAATTGATATTTTAAAATATTTTCTCGCAAATTCCTGATTTCACGTAGAATGGGCTTTGGAAATCGTCTCCAATTTGTTTTGGTCGACATTACTGTGTAAGTGTATAACAAATTTTTAATATCATAATCACTCTTTTCGACAACTGCGAAAACAATTTTGACATTAATGACAACAATTAATGACAGAAAAGAAAAGAAAACCAATCATAGATGGCTCTTCAAAAATTGCCATTTCAACGTTAAATTAACTTTTTTACTCTTTTAGCTCATAATATATAGCTCTCGTGTATCCGGAAAATTTTGTTCATTATGTACATTGTACAATGTACAAGCGAAGGATAATGCTATGAACAATGAAAAAAGAGCGTACAAACACAACCAAATCTTTGTTTTTTAGGTTCACTTCAAGAAATATGTATCAATTCATCGGTTTCTTATATATGAAACACATGCATACTGATGCATTCAATCTCGGTCACTTCGATACAGTGACGCTCACTAAGTGAAGTGAGGTTACTTTGAATGATGTTTACTTATTTATATAAAGATGCAATGTCGCTTTCAATTCACTTTTTCCATCTTCATTCGCATATTAGTTAGCCGATTGAACTTACGCTCTGTCCTCTCGTTCACACAATAACATCAACAACAACAATAATATCTACAACAACTGAATACATCCACTGTAGCAGAGCCTGTGTGTCCTACTACTGCCTGTGTATTAATTCATGGAAACATGTGTGTTTGTCTCAATTGCTGTTGTTTTAACAAAGTTAATCGGCTTTCAGTTGTTAGCGAGATTTTATTGTGTACGGTAAGTTTTATGCATAGGAAACCAAACAGAGAAAAAAAAATCGTTGGGCAGAACGAATTGAAAATATTTTTAGATTTATATACTACAAGCACTATAACATATACCGGTTATTCGTGTTGATTTAAAGAAGTTCAAAGTAATGATGATAATAAGTGATCTGAAAATATTGTGAATCCAAAGGGAAACAAAATGTCAGTCAAAATTTCGTAATTTAGTGTCTGAACAGCACTGATGAATAATAATTCAACACAGCAATACTGCAGATTACAGTGTTATCAGCGAGTGAACAATATTTGTTATATCATTAATTGCGGAAAAAACAGTGGAATTGAAGAATTCACACACATTCGAAATGAAACAATGACGCAAAAGAAGTGAATAAAATAAAGTTATAAAAAAAATCAAAACAAATTTTGAATTATTATTGTGTGCTTTGTGCAAACAATATTTAGCCGCGTGGCTGAAAAAATATCATGAAGTAAATGTTTTCCTTGTTATTAAAACGACATATTGATAAAATATCATCAAGCAAGAAACGCCGCACGCAACGTATAGTATGCGATCACGTATCTACGTTCAGCTAACACTTACTTCTGTCAAAAAGATACGAAAAAAATTTGAGCCGGTAAATGTTAACCTTGTGCTTCTATATACTTATACATATTCGTTTATTCTATTATTGTGTGATGCGTCTATGCTACATAACTGAAATGACTACCATTTATAAGAATGCATTTTAACTTGTAATAGCCATTTTTTCTTGCATAAGTCATTGATTGACAATAAGATTTCTTCATTTTAGTTTTATTACCAAAGACTATATCGTAATCAACAGCATATGCCAAGTTCACCAGTCAAAAAACTTACCCATTCATTACATTTAAGATGATGCATATAGAATTGGATGAACTTGTTGAGCTGATACAAAAGGTTGTGTAACAGATTTGCAAATAATAATGACAATCAAATGCGGATTAATATATATATATGCATAAAAAACAAACAAGTTGCGGATAATTTGTCAAACCTCATATTCAAAAGATGAAAAGAAAAACAAACAAATCAACAACCAATAAAAACATTGGTAACAAAAATAGATACTTTCAATTTATTTTTAAATAATGTGAGCGGAGACACGGACATATTTTTCAAATATTTTATTTACCAAACATATACTATGCTCCATACTTCAACTCACAACTTTGAAAAAAATTAACGAATATTATGAAAAGTAAAATGATGGTTTTGGTCTAATCTCGATTTCGTTGATTTAGAAAAATCTATAAAAAAATGTTGACTTTTGTAGAAAAATATCAGAAGCTAAACCATGCAATTCATTACTATTTAGATTTATTTACCTTTTATTCTGACATTTCAATCGAAATTTGTTAACAAACACAAGAATTGATTTGACGTAAATTTAATTCAAGTTTGTTATTTCTCAACACCCAAATATCGTTCAATAGATGGACTATACAAACTTGAAATGATAGTGATAGGACCGAACATTTCAGTGAAGAACATGGAAATGCGCTCCTGATAAACCACACACACACACACACACTCACACAAACACAAACATACATTATTACTTTTAACAATAAAATGATATAGCGTTGTGTAGCGGCGGTTGTTTGAATGACTACAGATATACACTCTTTCGGATGTGTGATTTGGTATAATTTTTTCTGTGCCCTAGAAAAACCTGTTTAGCAACTTCACACTGTACGTGTTTTGCTTTGTGAACACATCAGAAGTATCTGAAGTCAGTATTCGCAGAATTTAGTCTATAATTGAATGCTCTAAAACGAAAAAACAGCACATAATTCTTTTAAGTGGAATGAAATTTCATTTATAATAGAAAAAACTATTTTTTCTACGCTGGTAAACTGTTTGTTCTTTACAAAATGAGCTATAAAATACATGTATCCAACGGAAAATCACAAAAGAAAAAGAAGGAAATATAATGCATGGATCCATGAAATATGAATATTTTCCGCGCTTGGAAAAATATAAACAACCATACACACGCAACAGGTGCACTGCACGATTACGTGAGATTTACTTTGTAATAAACAGGGATAGGATCTAGCATTTTTCCAAATAATTGTATAATTTTATCAAAATGAAATTTGACTTTTTTTCATTAAAATTGGTAAAAAATAAGACACATTTTTTTTCCAAATGTGACATTTGGGACTTTTTGTATAATTTTACTTTTGATTCTTAAAGAAAATTGACTAATAACTAGTCAAAGCTTTTATTGCAAAGAAATAATCAAATATTTTTGAAAAGGTGGCAGATTAGTTCCGAAAATGTCTGGCCTAAGAGTATGAGAAATTCAGCGCCCGATTTACTTTGGAAAAAAAGAAATCCGAGATTTGATTTTTGGTTTCCCAGTTATATTGCAGAAATGTCAATTGAAATTTACAAATGATTTTTTCTTTTCAACAGGATTTTAAATGAAGTAGAAACGTAAGAAATTGAAAGCAGTATGGAACGGAACAGAATAATACCAGAAACAGAACGACAACAGAAGCAACTCCAACAAGAACGAGAGCGACAAGAGAACCAATGCAATGCAGCGCTGGCCGTTAAAAAACATTTTGAAGAATCTCTACGGCGTGCCAAAGAAAAGGTACAAACTATAGTTGGCAATATATTGAAATAAACTGGTTGAAAGTTTTAACTGTTCTTTTGCATCTGTTTTTTTTTCTTTCAGCAAATGCAAGCATGGACAATCAATTCTATTCCTCCGACATCTCAACAGCAGCCAACTTATCAGCAACACTATTTTATATCAAATCGAAAATCACCTTCGTTAACACAAACAATGCCAATCAAAGTTTCAGAGATTTCAAATGAATTTCCTGTAAAGCGCGTATTTCTGACACAAAATAAAAATTCCGCATATTTTAATAGTAAGAACAATATAAGTAAGGAACAGTTTCACCAGTCCAGTCAAGCTACTCAAATTGTAAGTTTCAACAGTTAATTATTGTATTAAAATCTAGGGGTTTCATTCAAGGCTTGAGAAATGTGAATATTTGTGAATATTGTGGATATTTTTCTCATTGAATCATCGTCAAAATTTCGATTATATGTGAATGTTGTGAATTTTGTGAATATTTTGAATAAAATTTCCAAGATGGCGACGAATTCAAGATGGCGGCTGATGAGAACGCCTGAACTGTCAAATAAGAAAGACTGAATATCTGTGAATATGAGTGGATATTCTGAATTTAGCTCAAAACACACCGGAATTCATGAATTTTTGAATGATAAATTCCCCTAGAATAAAATGATGAGATCGAATTCTATTTTGTGTCAATTTGTGCAGATTGCTCGAACTCAGAAGCCGGAGTATAATCCTACACGGCAGGACATCGGTGAACATACAATAAAAATCACGCCCGATGATATAACCGATATAAAAAACGATTCAGCTTCCTCTAATCAAATACCTGCATTTACTGGTTATAATTATACAACAACGATAGATTATAAAGACCTTAAGGTAGGTCCACAATAGGAGGTTGGCAAAAAAGCACTGCACATTTTCAAGTCGATCGGATAAATTACCTGTGTCTCATTAAAGGTGTCAACGGACGAGCACCTTGTCCGTCCGTCCGTGAAATTTTTTTTGTCCGTCCGTCCGATCAACGCTGAACGGACGGACGGACAGACAAGAAAATTTCTAGCGGCTCTGAACGGACGGACGGACGGACAAAAAATTACGTTTTGTCCGTGTCCGTCGAAAAATTTTCATTGATTTTTGACGTGAAAATAGGTTTGAGCTGTTTCAAATGGGAAGCTAATTACAAATCAGTTACTAAAATTTTTTTTTTTGTATTTTTTGCGTCAAAAATCAATGAAAAACGAAATTTGTTGTCCGTCCGTCCGTCCGCCAGAAATTTTGTTGTCCGTCCGTCCGTCCGTTCGTTCAGGAACCACGGAAATTTTGTTGTCCGTCCGTCCGTTCAGGATCCCCGTGAATTTTCTTGTCCGTCCGCCCGTCCGTTCAGCGTTGATCGGACGGACGGACGGACAAAAAAATTTTCAAGAGCCCTGGACGGACGGACGGACGGGCTAAAAAGACGGACAGTCCGTCCGTTTGACACCTTTATGTCTCATCTCCGTTCAATTTTGGAGCTTAGGTCCGAGGTAATTCCACCAAATCATGCGGTTGAAAGTGGGTTACTTGTGATGTTACAATCACCAAAAAATGTAATCCCAGAAAGTTCGAAGCCATAAAAATATTGCCATTTTTGCCTAATTCCCTGATAAAAATGAGAATATTTCTATAGGAGCTACCCTTAAATCATTTTCGATTGCCTTCAAACTTTCAGGCCAAAGCTACACGATTAAACGCTATCCGATTGGGTTGAAAATTGTGTACAATGTATTTTTCAACACATTACAATCGGTGTCACAAGGATTGCCTGTGGTATACGTAGGTAACTATTTATATTTTGCGCCTAACCAATTTTTAGTGTTGCCAGATGCAAACTGGAACTTCCATTGGAAAATTTGACATTTTTTAGGAATAAATACGTTGACAGATCGAAAAAAAGTTTGCCCCTTTGGTTACACCAGCCCTTCAAAGTGTGGTCCTACCCCATTTTCATACAAAAAAAGTTTTGACGAGTTAGCCATACTGAGCACCTTCTGAGGACAACTTGAACTGCCATTGTGTTGCTTATTGATTGTGACTAACAAACACATAATTACTGGGATCCGGCCATACTTATTGTCTTCACAATGGCAATGAGTAAAAATCCCTAAAATTTCCCATACAAATGGACCTCACTTTGAAGGGCTGGTGTAACCAAAGGGGCAAACTTTTTTTCGATCTGTCAACGTATTTATTCCTAAAAAATGTCAAATTTTCCAATGGAAGTTCCAGTTTGCATCTGGCAACACTAAAAATTGGTTAGGCGCAAAATATAAATAGTTACCCTCGTATTGCTCTTGTAACAATGTAAATCTTTTTATGGTCAACCTCCTATGAAAATGAATTAAAACATGTGAAATTCGGAATTTCAATTTAAAATTCTGTTCTCATTTGAATCAGCCATCATTATCCATTCAACAATCAATCGGGGTCATAGTCAAACATGATATCTCCCAAAGAATACACGTAGCGCCTCAAAACGTTGAAAAGGTGTGATTAACTATACGAAACTATATTCGGAAATATTTGAAACTGTAAATTGTCTGTTTTCTTAGATTCAGCCACATATGCAACATCAAAATTTACCATCGCAACCAACAGCATTACATAGAATATACTCAAACGATTCAACAACGTTGCAGTCGCGTTTGCCTCAGCAATTACCTCCATATATGAATGCACAATCGAAACCAAGGGTTTCATCGCCAGCACCATCAAAAATTTATGTTTGCCCCGAGTTAAAAATAAGAACATTGCAAGAACGAAGATCCTTCACAGGTAATTGATGAATAGATTCCCCCTGGTATTATTATTTGTGAAAAAGGTTCACATTGTTTTATTTACCAAAAAAATAGAACCCCCGCCGGCACACTCAAACTATTTGTTACCCCAGCATTCGCTACCATCACAAGATTTATCTCTGCCGAACGCAACATCAGAACAAGCATCGACATTATCATGCTCGCCCAGGATCCACATCCCGATATCTTTGGAAGTCGCAAATGCCGTCCAATTGAAACCACTTGACCTGGGCTTTTCTGATCGTCATCGAAATGATGGCGTAGTGGTTCCAACTGAACAGACCGTGCCGCCGTTTGCAGCAGAATCCAATGAAAATGCATCTAATGACCTTATCCAAACATCTGTGGGGAACATAAAAATGCCACACATAACTGTGGTAACACCACAAATACATTCTTCAAATTCCATGAAACCAAATGATGTGGATGATAATTCATCTAATTTGATTAATAATGATAGAGACAACAGTGAAAAACACGATGATACAGAAGTAATTTCAAATAGGTTCGATGGTGACGATAAAAGTCCGACTGATGATAAATTCGCTCGGCATTCGTCAATCAAAATTCCAAGTCCAAGCTCATGGCCAAGTCCGAATTCAATGCAAAGTGCACCAACAACAACTGATTATGAGAAAAGTCTAGGTAATAAATTACATAAGAGCATTCTCATAGAATTATTTTGAATATATTTGATTTCTTAAAGATATTACAGTGGTTGCACCAATGCACTTGAAAAAGGCATGGCTTCAACGACACACCGGTGCAACTAGTACAGGTGAAGAATGTGATAATACCATCAATTCAGCACCGACCACTTCTACTACTACTCCAGCTTCTACTGCTAGTACTACAGCCAATTCGGCTGCGGTCAAAGAACAAGAAAACCCCTCGAAATCATCGTCAAATCCTTCCTCGAACATATGCAAATCAAAATTGAACAGCATCACTACAAGAACAGGTAACGTATTCTTAGCGAAGCTTTCTGAATAAAAATGTCACTGTTTTGCAAATAAATGGACCCTTATAATAGTTGATAATAATTCAATAAAAATAGGCATTACTGGACAAAATTCCGATTCCAGCAGTTCAGATCAGGTGAGTCATACAGCAGAGACTGGTGAGTCATTCAGTTAAAAAGAATGCATGTTTATTGAAGTTTATGGATAAGTAACTTTAACAAAAAATAGTACATATTGTCTCATTGAGATACTTTTATTTTGTACAATCGTCAGATTAAGTACGCTTTTCTATCAGATTCGTATAATCGTATTTTGTATACCGGCAGAATTTCGATAACCTCCAAACACCATGGCATTGCAATGCACGAAGATATGCTTATCAAAACTATCTTTGCCTTTCTTGTTCGCATTTTTCTGATTTCCTTTGATTATGTCCAGCAATGTATCTAATGAAAAACAAAACAAACATGTATCATTGCCATGCATTGGTTACATTTCTGTGAAAATTTCTACATGGTAACACATCCCATCTTAGCTTTGAATGCCCTCAAAAATGATTGGAATTCAATGTGTTTTGTCGACTTTGTCCGAAATACGAATAGAGTCAAATTTTTGGATGCGCCTTGCCAAATATCCATGGTCTTTGGAACGAAACTATAAAAATTCAAATTTAAAGAATGATGCGTTTTTCAACGTCTCTCCAATAGATATGAAATTTTTAGCTATAGATGTCGCCGATGTATGGCATCATTTTAACATTTTAACACAATTTTCGTTTACTGTCAAATTTAGTTTATTCAACTCAGAACTCAAGTGCATTTTTGCATGCTTATTAATTTCAAAGAAAAATATTCTCATTCATGTATTTGTGACCATTGTTTGTCGATACGTATATTGAAGGAAAAAAACTTACTGAACGAAATGTGGACGCTTGAAAAAAAAATCAATATGTGGTGAAAAATGGAGAAAAATCTAAAAAATGAACATGTATTTAAAGTGCATAGCATTCTGTCCGTATAAATTTCAATAGTATCTGATATTTGCACACATAAAACCGGTTTTTTCCGTCTAAGCAAACCTATTTCTCCATTGGTGCGTCGATTATGGGATCCAGATGCATGATTTATTCACTTATTCTACCAATAAATAACTAATTTATTATACATAGAAAAGAGTTAATCGTGTTGTCATTTGCAGACAGCAAATATAGTAAATCGTAGAAGTAAACGACGAAAAATTGAGTTTTTGAAGTCTGCCGAAAAAAAGAAGGTATAATTTTAAATACTCTGGAAAATCTCTGAATAACTAAAATAAATAATTATGAATTTGATCAAAATTGCAGGCATCACAAGGTACAGGTATTGCAAGACGTGTTGCTAGTGGAAGTGATAGAGAGAGTGGTGACAGTGATAAGGAAAGTTTGTCGGACAATAGTATGGAAGCATCTCAAAGTAAAGAAGTTTTCAATGATGTTGGCGAAAATAGCACCGATGCTCCTGAAAACAAAGAAACAGGAGCAACGCGGAAACGAGGCCGTCGCCCCAAAGATGTTATTGTGTAAGTGCACGAAGCGTATTATGCGATCAAAAGTCTCCGGAATGTATTATTGAAGCCGCTTACGATAAATGTATTTTCCTATTTGAACGTGATATATCAATGTGGTGTATATGATCCCATCTTTTGTGGTTTGACGATTCTTCTTTTTTTTTGTTTAAATCAATTTGAAAATGAATCCTCCAGAAAACCAATGGAAATCATAACAATGGACCGCGGTGCACACAAACACACACGCTTGCGTCTCGCAGTGCACGGTCGTTCGTGTACAGAAAGTGCGCGCGCGCGCAAACATGTATTTGCACAGCGATGTTGTTGTGCACCGCGTGCCTCTTAGCTATGCTGGAATAGAATATCTATCCTAGCATTGAAATATGCATTCAAATTAAGCACGGATGTTCGTTAAGGTTATATCAGTTCGGAAGAAGGAAATACTTAACATCTTTATCTCAAATGGTTCAAATCACAAATTCCGGACACTTTTTGATCCCATGGTATTTCAAAATTGTTAATCTATTTTATATTATCCATTAGAAAGAAGAAAAAAATCACATACACCAAAAAACCACCGTTATTTCAGTTGAAAAGAACTGGTGAACCTTTCCTGCAAGATGGGTCTTGCTTTGAAGTGGCTCCGAAATTGTCAAAGTGCCGGGAATGTCGTTGGATTGCCAATCAGAAATCGAAGAACACATCAAATATATTTTGTCGATTTTTGGCTTTCAGAAAATTACGGTAAATTTCAAATAATTCTCTGTTGAATCGTGTTCTGGGTGTTATATTTTCCTTACACAGTGCAACACATGATTGAGGGACTCACTTTAACCAATCGCTTCTGAAAGTACTCATCAAAACTAGAAATTCTGCATCATTCGTTTTGCCAAGTTGGTTGACAGGTGAATTTATATGAATTTTTGCATTTTTGGCTCAAACTGGATTTTGAGCACTTTTGCGATATTTTCACAAGGCTATTTCTCGGTAAACCGTAAGGAATATTGTTTTTGTGTCTTCAGCAAAGTTGTAGGTAATGAATGGGAAAAAAAAATGCAGAACAAACTTACCCCCAAAAAAGCATCTAGGGCCTCAAAATCCCGAAAATGCCCATTTTTCACCATTTTTTACCATTTTTCAACCATAACTCACAGCGTATCCAATTTTTATGGCCACTTTTTTCAGCAATTTTGTAGCCAACATATAACTGGACGACTTTGCTGAACATACTAACCCAGAAAAATCATGTTCTATTTACCTTTTTGGCTCAAAATCACTCTTTCGTACCAAAAATGGTCAATTTGTTGAGAATTTTGGCCTATTACATGCAAATATCTATATATCTTTCCACATTTTTTGGTTGAATTTTCGTTAAAGTGTCTCTGCGAATAACGTGAACTCGTTTTTAAGCTAATTTAGTGGGAAAAATCACTCATTTGGAGGGAAATTTCGAGTTTTGAACCGATTTTTGAGCGTTTGGTGGACATTTGGCCAAATGAAGTCATGACAACAGCCATATTTCAGTTTCTAATGTATGCCATATTAAAGCTTATGTTCACAGCTAAACAATAAGGCCAATACGATTCACCTATGATGTCCAGTTTTGAAGTTATGGCTCCCCAAGTGATGACATGTCAACTTTTTGCACTATTTTGGCACTAAATATCACTTGAGCAGCCATAAGTACCCTACCAGACGACATAGGCATGTGAAATTAGCCTTGTTTTTCAGCTAAGAACATCTGCTTTAAAATGCCACACCGGTTAAACTGAATTATATCATATGCCATGACTCACTGTTCAAACCACCAAAAATTGTTCCAAAAATCAAAATTTTTCCAAAAAAATGAATTTATTTCCTCTCAAATATTGAAAAAACGGTACATTCAAGCTTATATTATCTGTACCAATGTTTGAGTAATTTTTAAAGATGTTTTTCAATGTATACGAGTGAAAAATTTGATTTTTGGGACCATTTTTGGAGGTTGTGGTGTACATTGAGGCAGATTAGACCATGACAGATGATATATTTCAGTTTTGCCGGCATGGCATTTTAAAGCAGATGTTCTTAGCTGAAAAATACGGCTAATGCGACCTGCCTATGACATTACCGTTACCCGGTCTGACGTTTTTGCGTCATTTGGTCTCAGGCACTAATTCAGAATAAAAGGGAATAAGTGACTCATTACGCTGAATCCCCGAACTTTTTTGTAATCCTTTTATGAATGCTGATTTTAGTTTGGAATTTTAAAAGTAAATATGTGAATGAAATAATTAAATGAAAATGACAGAAAGGAAATATATTTTCTCACTTTTTTATGAAGGTATACCTTGGTTATGAATGATTACCATATGCAGTGAAGAACCATTGACTTTGGTTCATATCGACGAGCTATATCCAGATGATCTCGAAAAACTGTGACATCTCACAGTTCTTCCGATCGAATATCATGCACAAAATTGAAAAAATGAGCCTTATTTACAAAATTTTCACCTAAAACTCTGTTGTAATTTTCCAATTTTGAGGTGGTTCGCTGTAGGACTGCATTCGCGTTGTGGTGTCTGAGACACGGCAACGCATTTCGCGCATAAAAAAAACGACGTTGTGTCTGAAACTTTCACGTCGCCGTGTCTGAAGAAATCAGACACGAATGCGCATAAAAAAAGGACATTGTGTCTGAGACCGCATGACGTTCTGCCGTGATATTTAGTGCCAAAATAGTGTAAAAAATGAACATGTCATCACTTGGGTAGCCATAACTTCAAAACTGGACATCATAGGTGAATCGTATTGGCCTTATTGTTTAGCTGTGAACATAAGCTTTAATATGGCATACATTAGAAACTGAAATATGGCTGTTGTCATGACTTAATTTGGCCAAATGTCCACCAAACGCTCAAAAATCGGTTCAAAACTCGAAATTTCCCTTCAAATGAGTGATTTTTCCCACTAAATTAGCTTAAAAACGAGTTCACGTTATCCGCAGAGACACTTTAACGAAAATTCGACCAAAAAATGTGGAAAGATATATAGATATTTGCATGTAATAGGCCAAAATTCTCAACAAATTGACCATTTTTGGTACGAAAGAGTGATTTTGAGCCAAAAAGGTAAATAGAACATGATTTTTCTGGGTTAGTATGTTGAGCAAAGTTGTCCAGTTCCACGTTGGCTACAAAATTGCTGAAGATAGTGGCCATAAAAATTGGATACGCTGCGAGTTATGGTTGAAAAATGGTAAAAAATGGGCATTTTCGGGATTTTGAGGCCCTAGATACTTTTTTTGGGGGTAAGTTTGTTCCGCATTTTTTTCTCCCATTCATTACCTACAACTTTGCTGAAGGCACAAAAACAATATTCCTTACGGTTTACCGAGAAATATCCTTGTGAAAATATCGCAAAAGTGCTCAAAATCCAGTTTGAGCCAAAAATGCAAAAATTCATATAAATTCACCTGTCAACCAACTTGGCAAAACGAATGATGCAGAATTTATAGTTTTGATGAGTACTTTCAGAAGCGATTGGTTAAAGTGAGTCCCTCATCCATGACCGAAAAAATGTTGCACAGTGTTATTTTTGGACCAAGTCACAACTTTTAAAATAATATATGGCAGCTTACCCAACTTATCCTTAATAACTTATTTTGAACAGTTACACTAAAACAGGTATGTTAGCAATTGCTGGATTTTCCGACCCGTATAAAGACCCAACAGACGAGGATCTCAAACTCTGGATGCCTGACGCAGATAATCCACCAAAAAATTTGGATTTGATACAAGCTCGGTTTCTGCTAGCTAAAGTTGCTGATCAATTTTGTGATCTCTTCTTTCAAGAGAAAATGGCAATGCCAGAAAACATGTCGAGCAGTAAGTACATAGACGGAGTACAAACTAAACACACAAAATTGACCAAATTTTTCATCCGTTTAGGTAAAGTAGTGGCTTGGAAGCGCGTCGTTCAAGGTGTGCGTGAGATGTGTGATGTCTGTCAGACCAGCTTATTCAACTATCATTGGGCATGTAGCAAATGTGGTTTTGTGGTGTGCATTGACTGTTACAAAGCTCGAAAATATGGCGAAAACAAAGTTTGGAACAATGAGTGGAACAATGGAGAAACGGATGAATACTCATGGCTTTTTTGCACGAATCGGTCAGCTCACATCCAAGAACGTTTGATGTTGACGCAAATCATAGCTGGTGACTCATTGCAGGTATTGGCTCGCCGTATCCATCAGGTTCGAGCTCTTTGGAAAATTCCGCAGAACTGTGCATGCCTAATGAGTCGCGAAGAACCGATCAAAGCAACAAATGGGGTCTGTAAAGAATTAATTCAGTCGATTTTGAATGACAACAAACTGAACCAATGCGATAAGGTGATGAATTTTAGCTCGTCAGATTCGGAAACAAATTGTATAAAAACCGAATGTGATGCTAAAAAACTAAATGAAACTGCATTGACGCAAGAGGTATACAAGAGGGAGAATCTACAGCAATCATCTGAACGGAATGAACAAAAAGTTGAGGACGATTCGAGTGATGATGGTTCATCGTTAGACGAAAACCATTCGACTCTTAGAGATCTTCTCATTGGTCCCACATCTAATATGGCAGCAACTTCTTCATCTCCTCCAAACGAGCAATGCGATGATGAACAACAATTAGTCAACACAAAATCGGCAAAAATTTCGCACAAACAACTATTTGATGAAATGATGGCTAATACATTAGAATCTGTTAAGAAGAAAGTGGACAATGATCATTTGATCGTTAAGAAAAAAGCAGACAACATTTATTCACATTCACAAGACAATGAAGATTTGATCAACCTTGACTTGATCAGCAATCAACCTCGTCGAAATCGATACTTGCCGATACGTGTGATGACTATGGCATTGTCACAGGAGTTGTATCCTGACGTTAAACACATGTGGCTATGCGAGGGAAAACTCTTACGATTACTTGATCCAGCGGACAACGCGAATAATCTAAAAATTTTCCAACAACAATGGAAACGTGGTCAACCTGTCCTCGTATCTCACGTTGACAAATGTTTGAACATTGATTTGTGGCGACCAGATTCCTTTTCAAGGGATTTTGGAGAAGATGGGAATGATTTGGTAAACTGTTTGACCGGAACACTTGTGCCAAATCAGCCGATGAAGCGATTCTGGGATGGTTTTGATTGTATCAACAAGCGAATCAAGGATGAAAATGGCGAACCTATGCTTTTAAAGCTAAAGGACTGGCCACCTGGTGAGGACTTTTCGGAAACTCTACCAACGCGGTACACGGATTTAATGAAATCTCTACCACTTTGCGAGTACACAAAGCGTAATGGAAAATTCAATCTTGCGAGTCGATTACCTGAGTGTTTTGTAAAACCTGATCTAGGCCCCAAAATGTAGGATGAAAAAAAATGTTCTTGGTTGTGACCAATAACTAACAATAATCATTCCAATTAGGTACAATGCTTACGGATCTGCGTCGCATCCAACAAAAGGCACCACAAATTTGCACTTGGATATTTCCGATGCTGTCAATGTCATGGTTTATGTTGGAATACCAAAAGACACTGCCGATAACCATGATTCAATAATAAAGGAAGCATATCGAGCGATAGACGAAGCCGGATGCGATATTCTGCAACGGAGGAGAGTTAGAGAAAAAAATGAACTTCCGGGGGCGTTATGGTAATCATATCATTAAGTTTTATTATGTTTTCGGTTACTAACTCTCTCTCTCTCTCTCTCTCTCTCTCCTCTTTCACACATATTTGAAATGTATTAGGCATATTTTTGCACCACGAGACGCAAATAAAATACGAGATTTACTTAATAAAGTTGCAATCGAACGTGGCGAACGACTGGAGCCAAGTCATGATGCAATTCACGATCAAAGTTGGTACCTTGATAGCAAACTTCGTGAACGTTTGTACAGGGAATACGGTGTCGAGGGATATTCAATTGCACAATGCCTTGGTGATGCCGTTTTCATTCCTGCCGGTGCACCGCATCAAGTACGCAATTTGCTAAACTGCATCAAAGTTGCGGAAGACTTCGTATCGCCGGAAAATGTCTCCGAATGCTTCCACCTTACACAAGAATTTCGATCACTCTCAGATACTCATTCAAATCATGAAGATAAATTGCAAATCAAAAATATCATTTACCATGCTGCTAAAGATGCGCTGAGCCTACTATCCCATGTACTCGATGAACGAATAGCAAAAGAACAAGGATTTGATTTAAAACAGGCAATCAAGCAAGAATTCAGTGATGAAAGTGATCTTGAACGTACTGGCTTCTAATTTTATCTTAACGATCATCAATAAGTTGACATTTTTTTGCGCTTTGTGATATTTTGTGTCCGTAACAAATTAAAATACGGTATAAAAAGTTGTTTTAAATTTTGCATCTTTCCAATATTATATGGTCTCATCATATGGATTTGTATTTCTTTTCAAAAGTGTGATACTGAAATAAAACGAAATATTTGAAGCTTTTAACATAAAATGTACAAAATAAAAATCTTATCAGTTTAAATACTTTCGAATATGTGTATTATTTAAATGAATAACTAAAGATGGAGAATTTGCCGCCAGATGGCTCGCTGTTTGGGGGCGCTGGAAACGTTACAGGGAATCCACACACACAATAATGCGCTAAAATGACTTTAGTTTTTTTTCACTATTTTTTACTAGCTGCTGCTCTCACTCGACAAAAAGAAATGAAATAAATTGTGCTAATTACTATGCTACCAAAGTGAAGAAAAATACAACTAAAAGATTAGAAAGTAAAAAAAATGGCAAAAATATAAACATTTGTTTATTTGTTTAAAAAAAGTGGGCACAAAATGTCTATCGGTACAAGTAAAGTGTCACTTGAAGATTCTTTTTTTCCCCATTTGTTGAAGTGTTAAAGAGTTCATAGTTTCTCGTATATATTTCCAATTTGAACTGTTATCCGAAAGAAGTAAAAAATTATCTGAACTGTGAACAATAGAGTGTTTATGAGTTTTTCCTGAGTCCCTTGACCGTGAATACAAAGTTGGATTTGGCAGCCTCGATAATATTCATTTTTTGCGAACCTTTGACGCAGTTTTTAGCTTATGAAGAAGAAATCGCCACTCACCAAAGAGTATTAGTACCACAACATAGAAGAGATAAAAATAGTTGCTTGAATTATTGCGTTTTCTAGACGAATACAAGTCGATATTTCATCGTTGAGTTTCCACGAAATAATGCAATTAAAATAAAAAGGGCTAATATAAGGGCTTGCATAATTATTAATAGTCACTGAAAAACCGAAGTGATTTTGATGAAGAAAACTAATTACATCAACCATTGCAAATTGCATTGTATCATCTAACATTGAGAAGAAAAACTCGTCCATCGTGGCCCATTTATTTCGGTTGAATGTATGTTTCTTTAAAACAAAACATCATATAGTTCATTCGGATTGTTTTCCTCCATTGTGATTTAATTCATTCCTGGGTGGTTTAGTACCAGCATGAATTCGCCATTGACAATGCTCCGTTGATTGTTGATGTCATTCTTAATGTTTTCCATGATTTTGTGCACGAATAAATGTATAACAGAGCGAATGATGACACAAAGACGCTGGACAAGCGAGAGCATAGATTTTTGAGTGTATGTAAGTGACAGATACAACAGGCGCGTAGGATTGAATATTATGGAATTTTGAATCCGGATTTTTGGGGCCATATGATTCAAATAGCAATTTAAACTTATCGAAAACAACATTTATTGCAAAAAATTCAAAATTGTTTGTGCAATGAAATGGAAAAAAAACTCCTCAAAAATCTAAAATTGACTGATTAAATAAAAACTTGACAAATAACAACTATCTATAAACAGTTAGCTCATTTATATTTGCGTGTATGTATTGCGTGTTTTTTTTTCTTTTCTGAATGACAAGCCCAATGAAATCATCAATGTGTCGTGTACGTTCAAATCGATAATATAAAACAATTGATTTTTCCCAAAACAAAATAATCAGATGACTTATCAATAAAAATAAAATGTCAGTGGTGACACATATATTTAAATTTGTCGAATTTTTACATTTGCTGATTTTTTTTCTTTCAAATATTCTCTCAGCATTAAATCAAAATCAAATTTTGTTATTAGTCGTGCAAGAGATGTTTATGGTATTTGTCAAATGTATATTTGTATGTATCTGTATGTTCTCTTTCAGAGATACAACTTTTGATCGTTTTTTTTCCAGCCAAACGCTGTTTACAATGGAAAGAATCGGCTCCACGTAATTTCGTACAGAAAAACCTATGTGGTGTTCATACCTAAAATTGAATCATAAAAAGAAAATGGTGTGTAAATCTCAAAAAGAAAAGATATAGAAGAAAAGTGTATGTGTGAATAACTATGTGTGTGTGTGAATGTTAAGTCGAAAAAAGATAATAACAATAGAAAATTATACACACAAGAAACGAAGTTGAAAACTTTTATAAACTTTGTGATCTATTAATATAAATGATATGGATAAAATGGATTCTGACACATCGGATGTACGACAGGTATGTAATTATTTGTAAATAAATAAATACTTTTTTATTGAGAATTATGAGCGTTAATTTAACCAAAGTTTTCTTTGACCATCTGCGAACAAAACGCGTTCGTTTTGACATATGCGATTTTTATGCAACATTCTCTTTGATTTGCCACCAACAAACAAGATTTGTCTACGTTCACCATGTTTTGATCAAAACCATGGGATCAAACATAATGACATGTTAAAAGATTGTTCGTATTTTATGTTGATCGAATGTACACGAGGTATGTTCGTGTATTAAGCTTGAAGTTATAGTTGCTTAAATTGAACGGATGCAAAAATCATATTTTCTGAAGAGTATAAGCATTGCACACATCTGCATTCCCTTTGTAAGCATAGTACATTGCCATACGTCTAATAATAATAATAACAATAATAATGATAATAATAATGTTGGTAATAACAAATGCCCACGTTCACAGTTTTTTTTACATGTTTCGTCGAATCTTGTGGCTTGAAGTGTTTTTTTTTGCTTTGGCAAGATGTTCACCGTTCGGTTGTCTAAGATTTTTCTAAGTTTTATGAAGTAGCAATGTGTGCGCCTGAATCAGCAAGACTTATTTCTCTGAATGAAAATATTGAATAATAGTTGGTTATGCGGACTATTCTTCCAACTGAATTTTTCTCTTTTTGAAAAAAAAATCCAGATACCACAATATTTTAAATCAGATATGCTGTGTATTTATAGGAAAAAATTGGTGCTGTTTGTTGGAGCGGCGATATGAATATAAACAAGAGCAAGAAATTTCTTCACGATTGCATTTTTTTATCAATATCTCTTTACCCTTATAGAAATAATGATATTTAACAACATTCAAAATCAATGACGTGAACATATTGAATTTTCTTCGAATCAAAATCCATACGGACGTTTTGTGTAGCTTTTTTTACATTCCATCAATGTAGGTCTGGCTTGTTTTTGTGATATGTTTATTCTGTTCGTAATGTGAAACATATTCAGACTAAACGCACTACCAATGACCAATTAACACAACGAAGACTTTTCCTTTAAAATTTTAAAAATTTTTAAAATTTCATTCATTACACAGCAAAGTAAGAGATTGCTAAGAATCCTATTATATTACACATGTGTTTTATTCCTCGCCTGTACGTTGCATAATCTAATCAAAATATGGATTTATCCATAACAACTCTAAAACATTTTGTGAACGCCTATTGTCGCACGATTAGGTCATCCATTCGTTTATTTTTGTGTTCGTGTCGTAGTTAATTTACACTAAAAAAGGAGAGAATACAAAAAATACTTCACTGCCAGTGAATTGACCACTTTTGTTTGATATCATTGCCAAAAATCACAGATCACCTGTTTTAAAACTGAGAAATATATGTATGGAATGTAGGTGAACACGCAATAAAGCTCATGATGAAAAGAATTTAGCGCTGCTACATCTGATTCACTTGTCATAATTATATTTATCAGATCAATTCGAACCCTAGTTCAAATCCAGACGTTTAACATTTACAAAATTTACCACTTGAAACGCTCTCTTACTCTTATTTCATAACATTTTAATTCATTCTCTTACTCAATTCCAAGTGTTGGGCTATCATTTCATATCTTCTTCATTTGTGTATATATCTAAATGTTCAGTTCCAAGCTGTAATTAATTACTGCTATTTAAAAAGAGTATGATAGATAATATGCATCTTATAGAGCTCACCGTCTGCCTGCAATTTTAATATTTTCGCTTTTTACATCTACATACATGTATGCTAATTACTTTAGCAGAAATTCAATCAAGTAATTTTACTTCAATTAAAATATTTTTCCAACTCCGAATTGCTACTTCTATTCCGTGCAAGAAGAATTAGAAAAAGAACTGCAACATACACCTTTATTACTGTATATGTGGAAAAGTTTTAATATTGCATTTAAGATCGTTTATAATAATATTTCGATGTACAGCAAATTTGATTCCCTCACAAATAAAGCACCAATTCAGTTCGAAGTGATCAGTTTCTAGTCATATGTAAACATATGTAGCAGACTCAATTTAATTTACGTCTGAATATTGTGAATTTTGCTTTGAAACCCATTCTATTACGGCGATGCGTTGGCTGTATTTGGCTGTATGAAGCTCTAATATTGAATATTTTCGATGTTGTTGTTTCACACAGCGATTGAATTCTCTTTAGTCTTATGGTCAACATAACATACAAACGCTTTGGCATTTGCTTTAGTATGATTTTGAATTCACTTTAAAAAAACCTCGAAACGCCTACGATATGTATATCAACCGATTATTATCTGCATTGAACAGAGGTCGCAAGCGGGCCGAAAAATTGGCCGGAAGGGTCAGCCCGAATCCCGACCGAGCCCAAAAAGTTCGGACTCGGGACTGGCGGTCTTCGGCGGGACTACGATGGGATGGGCTCTCGTTGCGACCTCTGGTATTGAAGTAGCATTAAGACATGAACATATAAGCGCCGCTGACATCACGACTATGCAAATATTTGTCTCACACCTTGTGCAAGAGAAGACAAAACAAATTGCGCGATGGTCTTTGAAACATCTAATACAACAAAGTGCGCTGTAAATGGAAAATATTCAGCAATGAATGCTCTATACGGTATAGTTTGGAAGTATAAGTAAATGCTTTCGTCATAAGGTTTACTCAAATGTTGGAAATGATATTTGTCAGATAAACGTCATTCATGATTCAAGTCAGTGATCTTCCGATAGGGACAAAAGCAATGCAAACTGAACTCTGAACGGTCTAGGATTTGCTAAATTTATTACCATTGCGCTCCACTGTGTTGCATCTAATAATTTTATTTGAATTCAATTGTTTTATGTGAAAAATTTATAAAGAAAGTGTGCACTTTGTTTATTAATAGCTTACGAATGTAGTTAATTTTCAATTAGTTTTAATCCAGGAGAGGATCTGAAATCGAAGAATGATTGCAATTCACACTAATTTACATTACATATTTCTTGTTTGCAATTTTTTCATGCTCACCATCATAACATTGGTTTTTGTCCCATTATGTAATCTTCGTTGATCGGGAAAAGGCGCGACAACGAGCCTCCGTCAAATGGATTTTATCTAAAGCATTCAATAATCGCGTGCCAGAGAATCAACGCGAACCATTCTACCGAGATCATGAAGGACAAGATCATCTGAAGCCACAAGTAAATATTTCAAGAGGAAGCATTTTAGCAGCATGTTTAATTTTATTTCTCGAAATTTTACGATTTTCAGATTGTAGTTAATTTGGGAAATGCTTCGATTTACTGCCAAACATTGTCGAATTTGTATTCGGATCCTAACTACCAAAGTTTAAATCACTGGTCAATACTGCAAACATTGACTCGCAAAGGAATTTTAATAGCTGAAAATCCAGATATGCCGTTAACCGAGACTGTTCTAATACAAACAAATCCAATACGAATTGTAAGCGTACAGTGCTTGTTGCTCATTTGTGTATAAAACACAATCATTGATTAGTGTCATGTTTTTTTCTACAACAGAATGCCCACATGTCTGTGATAGAAGCACTTATGATATTGTATGCTAAAGAAGTGGCTAGTTGTGAACGTATTTCAGCGGCTATAAACAGGTATGTTTTCTGTTCAATTAATATTATTGGCTAGAGTTCCAAAATTGATGTACTGAACTTCTTTCCCATTCACTATGCATAGAATAACCGGAGGATCGTTGCCGAAGGAGGGACAGAATCATGAAACGGCGCTACTTTGTTGGCTTTCACATGTGTGTGCGGCTCTAAAACGACGTATCGATAAAGAAATTGAAAATGGCGCAACTGATGAAAACGTAATTTTTTTCTTGGCTATAGCGTAACATATTTTTTTTTCAACTTTGTTTATCGTATTATTTTCCTTTGTTTGGATCGAATATAGGGGGTACGCCTACAATCTCCAGACATACCACCTGTACACGATTACATCGATCTATGTGATGGCGTTTGTTTAGCTTATTTAATTTCATATTATTGCCCAAATATTGTACCATGGACAAGGTGTGTTTTTTGAATTAGTTGAATTTTATATATTTGACTATCATTCTAAATGATTTTATCAATTTATATGCACATTGCACAAACCAGGAGTACAATTTATGAGATCTTTTTCTATAACTAATACGGAAAAAGCTTTGAGCAAAAATGAATCCAATAAAGTTGCGAGCAAAAGTGACACAGCTCAGCCAGCATTGAGTGGAAAAAACGTTTTCTTGTGTTTTTCTCTGGAAAGCGATAGCCACTAGGTGTCTTCAGCATATTCGTAGTTCTTTTCATGCTGAAGACACCTAATCATTATATACTTCTAGAAACGAGAAAAATGCAGAAAAACTTCTTTTCCACTGAATTCTGAGGTGTGTCACTTTCGCTCGTAACTTTATTATAACTTAAATAACGAATTGCTCAAAGTTAATTTTTTGTAACTGTCATAGAAAAAGGGTGTATAAGTTGGACTCTTGCCAATTATCCTAATAAAACAAAAAGTTACTAACGTATTTTATAATCTGTAAATTGATATATTGAATTTCTTCTTTATTCAAGTGTGCGATTGAATTATATGCCAACGGTTGAGGATTCCATTTCCAATATTCTGCTAGTTAGTAATTTTTCACAGAAACATTTGCCATATTCCGTATTTCATATGACACCGCAGGACGTTACGTATATGCGAGGGTAAGTGTACTAACGCATTTATTAGCAACTGAAAATTATACCCAGTACATTTTTACTTTCTACAGATCTATGAAGCAAAATCTAGTTGTTCTTTTAGCCGACCTATTCAATTTATTCGAAATTCACCCAGCCAAATGTGTCGCATATCCTGGCATGGATCAACAAATTTCAAGTAAGCTTTACTATGTTTAATTTATTGAATCGATCACAATTTAGAATTACACAGAAATTGGTAATACTGTGCAACAAATTTGAAAAAAAGTCAGAAGACCAATACTTGGCATGGTAGAGGTTTTAATACTACCATAGCTGAGTAAAACACCAACTATTGGGTGTACTCATTGATTTCCGCCGACCCCTGCATGATGTACAAAAGATACATATATTCGATTTTTTGACAATCTTAGCTATTGTATGTTAAAGAGCACGTCAAAATCTATAAAAATTGGCCCACAATACTGGGCAGAGGTTAAAATAATCAAAGTTTTTTTTCTTCTTCAAACTTTTTATATTTTGAACTTGGCTCCTTGTCACTATAGGGGGCGCTGCAAGTGCATCACTGAAAAATGCATATTTCACTTTTAGGGGTTGGAGGGGGGACAGGTGGGGTGAAAGAAGTGTTTAAAGTGTTAGAATTAATCGTTCCTAACAATAATCAATCGGTATCTACCGATTATTGACAGCAGAACCACAAAAATTTGAACACATCAAATTTCACAGAACACATCAAATATTTCTTAGGAAGACCTCGGATGGGATCGGCTTGATCAATCTGCGTACTCCAGACCTTGTTCCGTCTGACTTCCACTGGTTTCATACGATTTAAAATCACTTAAGTGGAGAACGGTTCACTTCTTTTCGAAAAAGTCAAATGGGTCGATCCTTTCATAGGGACAAAAGTACCCTTATTTTTTCAAGATCTTATCTGTAAATTGCCTGAAATATAGGCAAAGGATGTCACTTCCGATGGACTATAATCTTATTAGTTATACTTTCATTCAAGGTCGTAGCGTGAATGAAAAGACAGGGGGGGCTCAGCCTTATTTTTCAAATAAGAATCGCCAAAACTTCAGGGTGCTCAGAAAATTCCAGGGGGGCTCAGCCCCTTGCGCCCCTATGGACGCTACGGCCCTGCTTTCATTTTATTATGAAATAAATGTATTTTTGCACACAAAAAACGGCGGAAATTAATAAGTACACCCAATAGATTTTGAAAGTTTAGTAGCGGTTTCAGGGGAATTTTCAAAGTTGACCTCCTCAGATTATTTTATTTTTATTTGTTTATAATGGTAAAAAAAACAGGATAAATCCCAATTACATTTTTCACCTAGTGGTTTGATCATGATTTATGTTGATTGATGATGATTTATTACGAAAAAAATAAATAAATAAATAAATAAAAATTAAATTAAATACTATTTTCTTGTATAGAAAGAAGGAAAAGAATTTAGTAAAACAAAATCATCAATCATCAATTATAATCAATCAAATCTGCCAATCTCGGTACTGAAAATTAGACAGATTGAAGCTATATTAACCATCTGATGGTCATTGTATTTTTTCGTAAAGTTTGCAATGTTATTCCGAAATATAGCCAAATAAAAAAGTTTCATGATTTGATTGAAAAAAAATCACAGACCATTGGCTACCGTATTCAAAGAACGGAGTTTGATAGAATCTGGGGTGTATCATAAGTCACTATTGAATCAAAATATGGACACCGCAAGAGATGCATTGCAATATGTGGGGGCCTACAGCCAGAATAAGATTGAACGAACCTGCATGTCGGACTGGACAGAAAAAAAAATGATTGAAATCTGACAGCGAATTCTGAAAGTCTGTTGATTATGAAAAAATATCCAAAAATATTAACACTATTATGTTGTTTGGACACTCTTCGAGTGACACACCCTGTGTATAAATAACAATTATTTTATTGTGGTATCTTAAATTGGGACTTAAATGTTTATTAAATATGCCCAGCTAACACTGTTTTGCAAAATTTATTTTATAAAATAACTATTTTCATATTTGAGGTGATACATTCACGTATACATTTCTAAAAATATGTGGCTAAAAAGATATTGAATCACTTTTTATGACTAGTTTGCTAATTTTCTGCAAAATGCTTTTTGGTATGATTTTATTTTAACATACATACGAAAAAAATTAAATCATCAATATATTCTCTGTGGTGCACGACAAATCATAGAATCGGACAGCAATGACACGGTAAATGAACATGGAATTCAGCAACGTCGGGGCCTAACATTGGGTCATTATTCAGTGACACCAATACCAGATCTTAGGCCAGGTTTGGATTCGCCAACTAGCTCAGCCGCAAGCAATAAACCGCCATTTCAAGGTCTATATTAACAAGAACATCGCAAATTTTAACAATCATTCAAAACATTCTCTCATTAAAGTTTATTTTATGTTATTTTTTTTACAAAAATATATCACATTATATTTCTTAAGAATTTTGCGTCCAGATTAAGTTGGCTAAAATCATGAAAAACATTTTTGAAAAGCGAAAAGAGTCGAAAATATTCGGAATTTAATAGTTTCCACGATGAATTGCATCTCATAAAAAAAGAAACGACGTTTAATCGTCCAAAATCTGGTCAAGTAATCATACAAATTCATCGTGAAAATCGATACAACCTGATTTGAAACAATTTGGAATTTTTTATTTTCTAGCGCTGCCATATGGCAACGACCCTTTGGAAGTAAATAAAAACTGAACCAGGTACATATCATAGGAAATAGACACGTTTTACATGCTCGAAAAATGCCGATATGTACATCACATTATCAAATCGACCGAAAGATATTTTAGAACGGCACTCAACTTTGTGGATACAAAAATGACAAAACGCACACAACAATTCGAACACAAAAGTGACGAATCGCACACAAAAATGACAATTTCCATTCAAAAATGACGAAGTGGACACGAAAGAGACAGAATGCCACGAAAATGATATTTTGAACATGATCAAAAAATTATATTATACTTAAACTTATGTTTGAATGTGTTACCCGTGAAATGTCTTTACAATGGAATAATAAAGAATGAAATGGTTTCAAACAGATGATACCATTACAATGATCACACGGTGGACAGCAAGAGGATATACCACTAGCGACATTTTGTCGGAGGGATAGTAATGCCTTGTATGTTGGTATAAACTTGAACTTTGCTGTCAAACCTGTACAATGTATTTTTCAACACATAACTATGCGTGCAACAAGGTGTTGCCGATGGTATATTGCTTTTGCTTCCACCGTGTGACAGTGATACCGATGCAGAGCTTAGAACCGCACAAGTGGTTCAAATTTCTATTTGAAGACTACGAAAAAAAGCAACAACAGAACATACATTCTTAGACCCAAAAATAACAATTCGGACACAGATTGTAGTTCATCACTCACATGCGCTCGTGCCGGCCTTATGCTCTGATAAAAGTAGAGAACTTTATCAATGTATCTCTCTCTCTCTATCTTTTTTATACTTTTATTTGTTTCCGAACTGTTGTGTGCGTTTTGTCATTTTTGTGTCCAAAAACATTTATGCCATTTCAAAACTATGACATCATGAAATTGCGAGATTTTAAAAAGTGGCGATTTTTTTTCGTCAAAAATGGGCAAACCAGAATTTTGCTTTAATTTTCACAATTTGAATTTCTGGAAATAGCTACAATTTCTTTGGCGGAGAATTTTTGGGGCAAATGGAACATTCAATTTTGTGAAGAAAATAATTTTCATGGTTTTTTGAGTCGGTAGTTTTGATAACAACAACAACAACAACCCAACATAAATTCCGAAAATACAGTTTTGTTCCATACAATTAAATACAAAACCTCCTTTAAAATTTACGAATCGCCAAGAAAATTGAAAAAAAAAATCAACAAAATCGACAACAAATCGAAATAAAATGTAACAAAACAATCAATAAAACTAACATTACATCCAATGAAATTGCCAGATTGGGAAAATAATTTGGATAGGAAAATGACACTTTTTGCAATAAATTTGACAACAGCAAGCACTAAATAAATAAATTTACGTCAAATTTATTGCAAAAAATTACAATTTTATACAGGGTTTGAATTTTCCCATCCGCTTGATAGAGCCTCTATAGATTGAATCGAAAGAGTTTTTCAAAAGAGACTCTTTCAAAAGAATCTTTGCAAAAAAATTCTATATTATGTTAAAAATTACGGCGTTTTCGGGTTATTATCAATCAATAATTTATATATCTCGACGTAAGAAAATGATTACCAACTTGTCGGGCAGTCAAGCCAAAACCTGGCATCTGGGCGCTTTTCTTAAAAATATCATGTGATCGTTATTGTTTTTCGACTTTGAAATAATTCGGTTTTACACATGTGTGAAGCATTTTGGCTAGCCACGGTTTTTGTATTCGAATTTCCTAGTGTCATTGAAGTATCTTTTTTTTTATTTTGAAAACTATAGTAGTAATAAATTGCTTGTTGTGTAGAAAATTTGGTTGCTACATCCACTCAATATATCGATGGGTGAGTAGAGTATTTTGGATTAATTTTGTATTGAAGAAAAATGGAAGTATGTACTCAATACTCGATATCAGTTACTTGTTGTTGCCTTATACTACTATATAAGGAAATAATGCGAGAAAAACAATTGACTCTTCTGTCGATCTCACCCATTGACATAATGTATTAGGGGGGTAATCGATTTTGAAAATCCAATGATATCAAAAATGGACCGTGCGAGATCATGGGGAGGGATGAAAATTTTGTTCTGTTACTTTTCTGCAGGGCTTAAGAATCGCACATTCAGTTCACAGTACAACTCATTTCAATGTGGACCACAGCGCTCGTGTGCGATGGTCTTCTCTTAATAACTGAGTTGTGTGCGCAGCGCACACCGCGCACTTTCTTCTCCTTTGCTGTGCGCGGATCTTCGTTCGGCCGAAAAAAATAAGAAGAAGAAGTAGTAGTAGTAGTAGTAGTAGTAGTAGTAGGTTCAACATAGTCGAAATACAGACACGAATATGTTTTTTTTTATTCTGCGTGTCTGCTATGAGTCTGCAAAACAAAATTTTCATCTCTCCCCATAATCTATCGATCCCGCAAGCTCCATTTTCGATACCATTGGATTTTCAAAATCGATCACCCCTAATATGCATGCTATTAATAATTACTCCAGTGCACTTGCTCTTATTCTTCAGTTGTTTGCATGGAGTCTGTTTAAAAATATGGAACTATGTATCAATTGCATCCAATTCATCGTTTCAATTACCAAAAATTTATGTAATTTTCAAAATTTCAACGATTCGATTATCCAATTTTAATAAATTGTGAATTGCGCTACAAAAAATTGAACTAAAATTATTATATAGTAATCGTAGTTTCTCCATCTAGAGTTTCATTTAAAATAATAATTTATTCACTATCGCATTTTGCTTTAAATCACTCAGAAATTCGATTGTATTTTTCAAATGTTCCTAAAATACTTCATTTTCTAGATGTCATAATGACATTATCGTTATCATCGATTGCTCTTTGTTTTTTAACTATGCTCACACTCAATATTATAGCGACATCTATTATTAAAATAGCTTGTAGTAAACGCATTCATAGCATTTCACTGTAGTTGCGATGTTACCAATTAAATTCCCCTGTGGTATGTAGTTAACAAGTGTCAAACATGAATGTGTCAGTACTACAAGGGAACTTAATAGGAAACATCGCAACTACAGGGAAATGCTATAAGTGCATTTACTACAAGCTATTTTAATAATAGATGTCGCTATAATATTGAGTGTGCTTGCAATAAAATATGCTTTTTTCTATTTCCATTTCTTCTATTGTACCAATTAGTGGACCGTTCAGTATCAGCAACAGCTGTGAGGCGGGTAACGCCACCACGTGAAGATCAGAATACAGGTGTTGATGGAGGTGAGTATCGCTTCATACTACAAAATCCTGCTTTTTACTTTTTTACAAAAGACGCTTAATTCAAAAGTGTTGATTTTAAATTTCCTCTTTACGTCTGTTTTTCTCTTTTTATAATATTATATGCACATGCAGGCTTTGTAGTACATCGCGGACGCACAATTCCAACACTGGCCTCAATGCAAGAACCACTTCCAGCTGCTCGTTCGAGACAATCTAAAGAGCGTGCAGACTCGAGGACAGAAGAACGAGGTAAAAAAGGATTGAAAAAAGCGATTGATAAAAAATTAGAGGATTTTCACTATTATTTCGTTATGTTTTGCTATCATTTTTCGATTGATCGCGGTGTTGTTCTAGCTTCAACCTTCATTTTTATTTTGTATTTTATTTTTGGTATACCTTTTTCGTTTGTTGAATGCACCATTTTTTGTAGGCGATAGTATTGCCGCTGGTCGTCCTAGTAACTGGGAAGAAACTAGAAGACCAAGTTTTGCAGGTCTGTATATAACCCAGCGTTTCAAGTAGCTTACATTTCTGAATATCACCGCATAACCATTAATTCGAAGTTTTTTAATTTATGATTATAATATATGTAGTTAATCAATCAATCGATATATCTATAGGTCGCCGTTCTCGTCGAAATTCGGTTAGTGATGATTCACAGTTGACCATAGAGAATTTTGGTGGATCACAAGATCAACTGAATATGATAGGTCGGTCGTTCGAGCGTGAAAAGTCCATGACAAATGTTGTAATTGAACCAGCAGTACCTGTTCGTTCCTCAATGGCGGATGCTCGGGGCTCTATACTATTCGATTACGATGATACATTAAATTCTGAAAAGCAGGACCATGAAACTGAGAAACAACCACCGATTCCAATGCGACGTAAAAGCCAAACCACTGACCCACATTCCAAAGACATAATTGATGGCGATATTACAATGTCACAGCAATCAGGAAATATCAATATGGATTTGGATGATGGAGCGCAGCCAGTTCGAAAAACTTCTTTTGCGACACTACCAAACACGACCACTTGGCAACAGCAATCAGTGAATTATCAGAAAATCGATCATTCAGGTTAGTTCTTTCAACTCGGTTGGCAACAGTTGCTCTGATTTTGTGCCAGCTAGAGTCTTCTAGGAAATGTTTGCTGTTTTGGAATTGTTTCGATTTTGGAAAACTTAGATAAATGAAATTTTAATAGCCGTTTTCGCTGTGACTATTTCAAGCACATCGTGGATTATCAACTAATCAACTCATAAAATTCTTCATCTCGTTTCTAGCCGAGGATGATGGTGCGAGTGCTGGTGTAGATGTTTTCAAATTATCAACAGTGCGCATGCAACTTGAAGAAAAGCGTCGTCAAATTGAGCAAGAAAAACGTAAAATGGAGGCAACCATGAATCAACAACAGCAAAAGGTTGGAAAGGCAGCATTTCTCCAAGCAATAAACAAGGTTATTGTTGTGTCATTTTACAATTTGTTAGAACGATGTCAACAGTTTCCACAGTTTGAGTTATTTGTGATGAAAATGTTTGATTTGTTAGTTTGATTTTCTATTTTAGAGTTTCAACTCCATTTTTCCTCCATCGTTTGATCAGCTCTTGCGAATGTTTTCAAGCACGTAGAACATTGAATTTGATTTAGTTTAAAACTAGGAATCTTTTCTGTTAATCTATCAAAATTATATCACTGAATAACTTGAAATTTGATACATTATCATAATATTTAATTTGTTTTCAATTCAAAAAGATTTAATTAATTGGAAAGGTAACATTTAAGATTTCAATTACTTCGTTTCAATTAATCTTTCACGTTGATTTACGGCCTTGTTTCACAGGACAAAAATAATTTACTCAAAAATTATAAGGATAATAGTTTAGTGGATAGTATCAAGGATGGTGATAGTCAAGCAGAAAATCTATATAGTTCACAGGTATCGATTATATTCGCAGATTCATTTGCTTCACTAAATTTTGACATCATACCATGCTTCGCAAAATGTTATAGCTTTATTTTGTACTTTATATCATATTGCATGAACATCAATACGACAGAAGTCATCTAGCATTCGCTTGTAACATTGATTTTTTGTTGTTCATTAGGAAGTCCTTTTTGCAAATATTGGTTTCAAGCAACAACAAAATTGGTTTCTATTATTTATCAGAAATTCGCTTATGATTTTTATGGGAACGCTTGTCTTACATAAGATAGCTCAATGTAACTAATATATATTAATGAATTGATACATATTTTATTTTGGAATAAAAGGATTCGACTGACCTTAATACGATAGAATCGAAGTGGGCACACGTTGAATCAAAACAAACCCCAGATCTGGACCAAATGAGTATTGACCAATATCAAGTGAGTACTTGAATAAGTAATACTTAGTTAGTTATTGAAAGTATTCTAATGTTTTCTCTGTATGATATGCAGAAGAGTATTGATCAAAAGAATACGAGCCTCCAGGATTTGAATGAAGATATAAATCGCTTGGCGAATTTGCAGGTTCATATGCAGGCGAAACATGCCAAGGCGCAACAAATCATGCAAGCGCAACAAATCGCGAACATGCTGTTTGGATCCCAGCAGCATATATCTGGTGCAACATCAAATCATCGAAGTCCAATATCACAATCAAATTTCGGATCATCGCCACATATATCGCATCCGCATTCGCCGCAGCAGCCAATTCACTACAACAATGTACGTCCAATTAGTCGAGATTCACATCAGTTCATCAATGAGCAAGGTCAATATGTGACTCCAGTGTCAAACAATCATCAGTCATATTCCTCATATGTAGACAATGAAAATGGAAGCGGTGGCTTGTACCAATATGAATCCCATCAGGTATATACCATTTTACAATCAATTCAATCAATTCAATTTTAATAGGCTTTTTACTCGCTGTGAATTTATTTATTACTTATTTTAGCAACAGTCCATTAACCCTTATCATACGTATCGAGTTGATCAATACCATAATAATCATTCGGTGCAAACACAACCACGTATTCAACAGCCGCAATCGAACCAATTTTACTTACATGAAAATACTCCACCACAGCCGGCAGCGAGAAGAACGTGGGCTCAGCCAGCGGCAGCCTTGAATACAGAAATACCTCAAAATCAGGTAGCCAATGATTTAAATTGAAATTTATTACGATTTATTACATATGTTTGATGTCTGTTGTATAGCAACCGCCACCGCTGCCGCAAATACAGCCATTAGACGTAAATGCTTGGTCACAGAATTCGCCAAAAATAGACACACATACGTGGAAGTCATCGAGTCATTCTATTGTCAAGAATCCTGGTTTTATGCTACATCAAAATAAGATTGGAATGCCTCAACATCAATTCGATCAATTCTATTCGTCCCCAGTCAGTTCAACTGGATCAGATTCAAAGGGGGTACATCATAACACCAATGGCAAAAATGAGTATCGAGATGATCGTGTATCGATTTCTTCACAATCCGTTGATGATATGGCACCGCAAAGCATTTCATTCATCGGGGATGAAGACTCGGTCGACTTGATTACGGAACATCCACCACCACCAAGGACGAAACACTTATTAGGTCGACCAAACGTTATTCAGCACGAACAGGATTTAGATTTAGGGAAATTAAATATATCTAGTGGTAAATTGACGTATCGCATACCATCACCAACCCGACCATCATTAAATATGAACAGTTTCCAAGTAAGATTTTATCTGCATGATTTGTGCAAATATATCAATACTATTTCACACAAACCGATTATCGCCCATAATCGCTTTCGTGATTTCAGAAGCCTAACGAGGATATTAACAACGAACAAAAGGGTTTTTATATATCATTTGATAACTCACAACCGAAGCGGCCAAAACCACCGCTGCGCACAAAACGTTCACCTAAGAAAGATCGTAGCTTAGACGCAACAGACAAGCAAGAACAGATCACTCAATTGGAACAAGAATTGAATAAAGAACGCCCACAAGGTAAATATATTAACAATTGGAATTTGTATAAGTATCAAACATGAATGTAGTGAATAATCAATTCTCATCGGTATATGTTGGATAGTGAACAAAAGACAGAACAGTTTTTCGAGCTTTGAAAATAAAGTTCGTGGTTCATATCACGATCAAGCATTCGAGAGAAACGAGTCAAACGGTATTGCTGTCGATTCAGAACCGACTATCACTCGAAAGCACGTAAGTGACAGTCAAATGTCGTCTATTTTGGATCGTCGACATTTAGAAGATGTAACAAATCATCAGCAAGAACCTCAGCAACAAACAACATCCCCTCAGAATCGGTCACATGATGCGAATAAAACACTTATTATAGATGATGCTCTCGTCAAACTGGATCCCGTAAGATTTTATTTAGGTTATTTAAGTAGAAAATAAATAATCGATGTCAATGAAAAATGTAGGAATCGGTCGATGAAATGGAACGAAAAAAAGAAAAGATCATGCTCTTATCACTGCAAAGGCGCCAACAGCAAGAAGAAGCGAAGGCGCGCAAGGAAATTGAAGCGATGCAACGACGTGAACGAGAGCGTGAAAAGGAAGACGAACGTATACGGAAACGTGAAGAACAAGCTGCACGTCGGGCTACTATTCTTGAGCAACATAAACTAAAAAAAGCAATTGAAGAAGCCGAACAAAAGGGGATCACTCTCGATCGTAATGAATTGCAATCGTTAAAACAACATGCAATGCTCAGTCAAACATCAAGTGGTGCAGCAGCAAAAATGCGACCACAAAAAGTCATTCGTCCACGTCCTAAGACCATTCATGTCGAAACGGGATCAGTTGATTTAAGTGAAGCATCTAGTTTATCCAGTCGCAACAAAAAAGGGTCGAATTCGAATTTAACAGGTACGACTTTGTTTAAAAACGTATAACGCGTGAATAACTTGCGCAACATTAATTAATATCGGTAGAAATAGTTACGTTTTATGTGTTTTTCTTAATTATTACTTATCAGTGGCAAACTGTTTTTATTTATGACTTCGGAGCAGAGAATCGATTCGTTTGAAATTATTATCATTCCACTCGGCTATATTTTATTTTGATTTTAATTTTCCTATTTATTGGTTGCAAATTCGAAAATGTTCGTATCATTCGTTTCAGTTCTCAGCCCCTAGGCCACAGATATTATCTTAAATACTTCCAGCATGTTCTTGTTTCCAATATTCTTCATGAGAATGGCTCCTTTTGCAACTAATTGTTTGAATTCAATGCACTTTCATAGAAGGCCATAGAAATAAAACAGAGAGTGTATTTTTGCTGCTGAGCAGGCCTGAGTTTGCGAACTCTGGCGCCTAAAGCATCATTTTTACGCACTCACGATTGAAATGTTCATTGCTAGCTAAGATCCATCTTACAAGTAAACCGCCCCAACTGACACTCATCGATTTTAAAATTGAATATACAGATCGATAGGGAATGAAATAAAAATAATTTTGAGAAAAAGGCAGCGGCCCCTTTTGGGGCATAGTGCCTGTGTGCAAATATTGTAACTGAGCAGTCGGTTCACTCAAATCTTGGTCAAAAAACTTGATATCATTTGGGACAAAGTGATTTTCTTAGAACAGAAACATAAATTCAATCTACTAAAGTCAACTGAAGTTAAGGTCAGTCAGTCAGTCATTTTTTTTCTCACACGGGTGGGGATAGACCCACACCTTTTGCCAAATTTCATCTGATCCAAAAATGATGTATGGCAAAGTTGTTCAGAATGGCAAGGAGAATATTTTGGGTAGCCGCCCTTCCCTTCCACCCCTCCTGGGGGTTTGGGGATTCCCTGTCCAGGGATTACATTTTTTTAAACCTGAAACTCGAAAATTCGGATTCTCCATACCCAAATTAGTGGGAATATGTATTTTCTCAACGGCCCCCCGCATCCAGTCTCCCAGATATTGAACTGGCAGAAATCGCTCCCCATCGGGGGTCAAATATTACAGAGTCAGTTTTTCACCCTTTAGAGTTGAAATTTTGCATACAAAAGTATGACCAACTATAGCTAATTTTGTTTGCACTATCTATTTTACCCATGGGTCATCCCTCCGAGCTCCCCTTCCGTGGGTTCCCATTCAAATTTATTGAAAAAAACTAATTTTTTTCTGTATATCGGGTCAAAAAACCCTTAACCCTCCAAACAAATTACATTTTTGGAATCCTCCATCAAAAAAATCATCCTATATGCCCTAAGTCAAGGCCGGAGCGCTTGGGGATGCGATTTCTCAACATTCTGGCCTTGAATTAGGACATAAGGGATTATTTTTTTGATGGGAAGTGTTCTGAACCTAAAGGTAATGTACTAAATTGTACTAAAATACAAAAAAAATGTTTCTGGTGCATTTTCAGTGGTTCCTTATGATTCTAAGAGGCAGTACATCGTTTTAAATGGTACTAAAATGTACAAAAATGAATTAAACGACAGAAATCTAGCAAACTGTATTGATCAGAACAGAATAAAAGTTGCGTTGGAAATATAAACGTAGAGAGGAGCTCCTAGTGCATAGAACCAATGACGTACATTTTTAGTACTGGCGTTGCAAAGCTCTTGGCATATACTTTGCCCCAGAGACCATTTCTTAGTTTCATGCACAAAAGTAAAAAAAAAATAACAGTAAATAAAAAATTCGCGAATTGCACCACTGAAATGACATGTAGGGACCCTTAGCTACTCATAATATACAGAAAACATCAATAATTTTGCATTTTTCCAAGTTGTCTCTAAAGTGAAGTTACGCCTGCTAAGCAGTAAAAATACACTCTCTGAAATGAAAAAAGCTGGACAGAGTTCCAGTCTGCTTGGATTCATCAGCCTTAAAGAAAGATAAGGGCAATAATCAGACGATCAGGCCTGAGAGTTTACATAGCTTGATTCTATGGTTTTCCTTCTATGAAAATGTACCGATCCAAAAGGAAATGAAGAACAAAAGAATGAAAAAAGAGCCATCCAAACGCTCCGTTGTACAAACTTATTTTGAATTTGTGTTTTTTTCTTTTTTTTTATATGTGGTTTTATATTGCCAATTTTATTAAAAACCTCAAAATGCGAATATGGTAGGTATTGGTCAATTAAGTTCTAATTCTATGCGGAGAGATTACTATCGTGGATCACAAGACTCCTTGGCCGTACGAGGTAAGTTCCATCTGTTAATTTTTCAGTTCACGGTTTTAGTTCATTTTAATTTTTATATAGTGCAGCGCCGTAGCCAGGCCGGCGCAATGGGTGCATTGCACCCTCCAAAAATTTCAAAGGTGCAACAAAATCGGGTGCAAAATCGGGTTTCAAAGGTGCAACAAAAGAAAAATTTTGATTTTGCACCCTCCAATTTTTTTTTCTGGCTACGGCGCTGATATAGTGTGTGTATGTGTGTGTAACCAATTGTGCATGTTTGAACTTTATATTATGTCAAATCGTCAAAAAAATTAAGCAATCGATTGAAGGACACATCTTTTGATAATTATCCAAAATAATTGGGGAAAAATGTACAACTAATCCTAAACCTAATCACGCTTTTACCTTACACAGAATCGCCAGATGAATATCATAGCACTAGTTCAACACCCATTGGTCGTCGTGGGTCTTATAAAACATCAAGAGGTTGGTGACGGGTTTCTTTTATATCTGCCAAAAAATCTAAAAATTCGAAATTATTTATGTCAAGAAAGAAACTAATTGGTTGGGTGGCGGTCATAATATCCCGATAAAGAACATCTGTTCTTCCGGGATGTTATGACCACCATCCAAATTTCTATTGGTTTAAAATAGTAGAAACTGATGTAAATAAATTCGATTTCCCAGCTTCTTTAGTTTAGTCAAGACATAACGGGCTAACTGATTTTGGCGTGAAAACCATTTAAAAGTAATATCTCTAAAAAAGCATTCATCAATTTTTATTTTATTTCAAGTTAATTTTGGTTTGAAAAATTAAGTCTCGGCTTTTCCGCGCAGCCATTATTTTATTATTCATATAGATTGCCTTAAACACTCACTTTCATTCCCAGATACTATTCACACATTCATCATCACTGTATCAGTTTAACACATTTGCACGATCCAAAATAATGCACATTAAAAACAATTCAATTTTAATCAAACAAGGAATATTATTGTTTCGTAGAGTAAAAACTGAAAATTTATCCATTTTTCATCAATCATGGTATATATCGAGCAGATTTCTGAAACTCAGTTAGAATTTCTCTGTAATTATTAATTGCTTCAACCTATGAAAAATGGAACATAAATTGAAATTGTTATTCTAAGGTGAAAGGATTTTTAATGGGGCTATTGAATATGGAGCAAATGTTATAATTTCATTGTGTGTTATGAATGATGTAGTAGCAAAGTTGAAGGTAATGAATTTTATTTGAGAGTGAATGCGCAAGAACATCGCAGCGTCACAATATGTACATTCAAACAATCAAACTAGATGAACAAATTGTGTCCTTTAGTTCAATCTCTAGTGCATAAAAAAAACAAATCAACCAATATTTTGCAGAACCAGCCGAACGTGGCCGAACCATGTCGAGAATATCAGTCGCTAAGGGAAGCAACTTAAATTTCAGGGGTCGAAAATCCAATTCGCTTATGAATTTATGCGGTAAGGCTGCCCCAAAGTTAATTTTGAAAATAATATTTAAAATGCAACAAATTTCCCTATTTCAATATTTGGAATGTTGTATTACCGAGATCTTTCATTCAATTTATTTTGTTTTAATTTAATCTCAAATGTTGTTGAGTATACCTTGGGATATACAGGGTGATTCATAATTCCATGCTAATCTCTCTACGACAGATTCCTTGGCCCATGAGGAGTAAAAATGTGTATGGACACTTTTCCGAATTCGGCCTCTATACCAAAGATTTGGCCGCCGGCGCATTTTTGGCCGCGCCGCCGTGCTTCTACGCCAAAAGCCATTGTGAGCCCATTTTTGGACATAAATGCATGATTTTTAGCTCATTGGAAAGATATTGATGCCCACTAGATCCTTCAATCCAAAAACGGTGAAAATGTTTGACTAAGGGGTTAAAATTAACCCATACCGGAAAGTATGGAAAAATGGTGAAAATAGTGAATTATTTCAAAATAATGCGTTATTAAGGTATCGTTTTTTCATCATAGATTGAAAGATCGTAAAATTTTAGGCCGGTATGCCCATTTTCAGAAACCGATTTTGCCGTTAACCCAAGAAAACTGCGACCCAAAAGTGTCATTAGTACCCATTTTTCGAAGTTTCCCAAATACCGGGACATAACTCAGAAACTGTGGGAGAGTTCGGTTTACTATCTGTAAGGAAATTGTAGAGGGCGTCAAAAGCAACAAATGTGGTTTGTTTACTTTATGAATTTTACCTGTAGATGGCGCTCGAAATCAAAATTTCTAATTTAGTAATTTTTACTAAAGTAACGGTATTTTTCGAACACATCAGCCATACTTGTTGTTTTTGTCGCCCTCGACAACTTTCCTGAAGATAGCGAATCGATATCTTCCATAGTTTCTGGGTTATACCCCGGTATCTAAGAACCTTCGAAAAATGGGTACTAATGACACCTTTGGGTCGCAGTTTTCTTGGGTTAACGGCAAAATCGGTTTCTGAAAATGAGCATACCGGCCTGAAATTTTACGATCTTTCAATCTATGATGAAAAAACGATACCTTAATAACGCATTATTTTGAAATAATTCACTATTTTCACCATTTTTCCATACTTTCCGGTATGGGTTAATTTTAACCCCTTAGTCAAACATTTTCACCGTTTTTGGATTGGAGGATCTAGTGGGCCTCAATATCTTTCCAATGAGCTAAAAATCATGCATTTATGTCCAAAAATGGGCTCACAATGGCTTTTGGCGTAGAAGCACGGCGGCGCGGCCAAAAATGCGCCGGCGGCCAAATCTTTGGTATAGAGGCCGAACTCGGAAAAGTGTCCATACACATTTTTACTCCTCATGAGCCAAGGAATCTGTCGTAGAGAGATTAGCATGGAATTATGAATCACCCTGTATTTCTCTTGGATCCTTTAGTTTTCTATTTTCTTCTATGGGTTTCTTAATCTGACAGACAATTAAAACCCGTTCGAATTCAAAAGAATGGTAGAGATAATGACGTTCAAGAAATAATTATGCATTATAATGCAATACTTGAAGATTGGAGTAAACGTGTCATTGTACTATTTTTAACTTTGAACGTTTTCAATTTATATTCTTCTTTGGCTTTTTAAAAAAATAACAGTGGTGTGAGATAGCTTTATTTCATTTTTCTCATTCGTTATGACTATTTATTCAGACCAAAACTAGCTAACAATTCCATTTCTTTTATTACCTTGTCTGTTGATCAGCGATTTTCGGTCAATTCATTTCCTCTTTCAGTGTGTGTAAAAGTGGTTTTTCTTATTCAAAAGACTACAATTTTTATTTGAATGAATCAATCCAAAGGCCTCACGCATTATAATTAGGATTTTTGTGAAGAGACTAATAACCGGTTATGCATACTTTACTTGCACTTGTTTTATTCTACAACTCAAATCACATTTATATCGGCTTTAAACAGATACCAAAGTGAAATTGTCAACAGAACATATTTTTGAAGTAGTCAAAATTTAAACATAAATCATTTTTTCAAAGAATAAAAATTCTGCCAAATCGTTTCGTTATAAACCATATTTCAATTCAAAAAGCTCGTTAACCCTCCAGTGCATCAATTTTCCATAGGGCTGGGAGTACTGGTATTTAATCAATGCCTGCTAGCCGGACGCTAATTTTTGATACTTGAACAAACGAACTCCTATATCGATCACCGTGTATAGTTTTTACTGCTAGCAGGCATTGACTTGGCTCATTTTTGGCCATAGATAATTAAAAAAATATTCATAATCCTGGATTCTTAACGGTTCAGTCAGGAAATGCGATTGACATAATCTTGCGATCTTGTCGAAAATATATCTAATTTTGAAAGGAAATAATTTATTTTGTCAAATTTTCGCTTTTGCGCACATTCTTGTTTATAACACGACAACCGCTTGATGTAGACGGATAGTGCAAAAGACAAAATTATAGAGGACACCTTTAAGAATAAAAATGCTTTTTAAAGCTATGTGATCCGACGTACGGTTTACGTTATACATGCGTTCAAATTTTGCCCGTCTAAAGGCGGTTGTATGCACTATTAACCCTCTAACAACAAAAATATACAAATTCACCTGTTTTTTTTTTAAATATTTCTTTTGATTTTGAAAAGGGAAAATGATCAGATTTATATGGATATACTCAGTTTTACAATGCATATATTGTTTGTTTTGTAATGTGTCTTTGGTATTTATTTTTTGTCATTATATTAACAACGTTTTCCAAATCAAACGACCATTCATTCTCTCGATTTCTGTTGTTAACAGGCTTTTCACCGCCTGATCAACATTTATATCGGGCGCGTTAAAATATGTTTGGTTTGAAGACAGTGAATTAAACCATTGATTTAAGATCATAAATCGGCATGATTATGAATAACAAAGGGTGTTTTGATATTTTGAATGAAAATACTAATTAAATTCAATTATTAAAAAAAATTAAACCAACAAACATTCTTTGAATATACAGTTAAAATGATTCCAACAGAGAATTTTTTTGAAAGAATAACAATATAATCGTTTCAAAAAAGATTCATTTATAATATACGATGATGGGTGGATAAATTTTTCGTGATTTAAAGCTTATAGTTGTTCGTTTTGATATCACTGTTTTTACTTGAAACAAAATGCTATCGAAGAAAAACAACTTATTATCATGCAATTCAAAATCATGTGTACATTGTACAATAAAAACAACATTTTGTTTCTCTTTGCAATGCGAATACTTTGGATTTCATTTTGATAATTGTTAATAAGTTGTTTTTATTCAATAGCATTCAAATGTACCATAGCTCAGTAGCTCACCAATTACCTAGATTTCAGGTAACCCAGTACGTTTGCTACAGGAATCTCAGTTGTGTAGTAATCACGTTCATTCGCCCAAAAGACATGAAATTTATTGAAATTATTACAGTAAATGTTTCATAAAATATATTTGGCGTAATACTAATGCGTTCGGCTGTCAAACCACTGTGTTGAGAGAAGTGAAAACTGAACAAATAGGTGAACATCCCAATCTCATCAATTGAATCTCGTATAAAATATATGTCAAACGTGCTACAGTTTTGTTGAAATAAATTCGTCAATAATGTTAGAATAATTTTATTACAGTTTTAATTTTAACGTATCACATCAATTATATGGCTATAACTAAATTGCTTAAGCGTAAAACATTATACACATTTCATTTCCACAATTCATATCCACATACATAAAGAAGTGACACATGCTTGCTTATTTTTTTTCTATCAGCACGGAAAATACTATAAAATTATTAAAATTAAGAAAATCAAATAGGTATATAAGTAGTGCATTATGATCATTTAGTAGTATCCTCGTGGTACAACTTACTACTCTAGAATAGGCAATTGATTTGGTCTATGATGATATTATCAGTGAACGAATATAATTATATCTTTCTCTATCTCTCTATCTATCCTTTTTTTGTCTCGGTCTATCACCTTTTTATTGTCGTGTCATTCACTTTCATTATTTCTGAGATTGATCGTTGCACAATTGATATGTGACTAAAAATCTTGTAATGTTTTGCCGTGCATTTTGTGACGTAGATACAGATTCTGGTTTGGGCCGTGCAACTCCGCCTAGACGTGCACCATCACCAGGCATGGGACAATCCAATCGTCATTTACCATCACCATCTGGCCCTGGCTCACTGCCGCCTGGTTTTATGAATAAACGTCGTGTATTTGATGACGGTTCTAGTGATATTTCATCGACTCCTAGTTCAATGCTGGAATATTCTGGTTTGTAGTCCAAGAACAACACACACACAAAAATATCACACGTACAAATTCAGAACAAATAAACAGAATTTCGAATGGGATAGTTTTGAGCGTTGAGATAACCATTTTAACGGGATACAAATGCAATAAAAATGAGTTGCATACGCATATATGTATCAACCTCCTTTATCCTTTTCCATTTAGCTACCTTCAGAAAAGGAAATCCTTGCCCCCTCAAAATATATCGTGAGAGTCTACACGAGAAGATTTTATTGTATTTACCATAATAATTGGAGTCATCGACAGCTTGCATGTGAACGATCACTAACAATTCATCTATTTTGCAAATCGTTTCTCAAAATCTTAAGTTTAATTTAGCCGAGTGTCAGAATCGTCATTTACATTATTTACAATAAGAAAACGGAAATCAAATTCTTTCATATTAACACGCACATGACATGCACACACCACAGATAGGAGAGTGTTGACATTACTTGTATGACTTAAAGTCATTGACTTTTAATTGCTTTTTAATAGAAGAAACACTACTTCTTAATTTAAAATATTCATCTGACACAAATCACTCATACCGGAATGCAAGCATCGCGATTCATCCCAATAACTGCGCGACAGATTTGACCTTAACTTGAAATATTGAAATAATATCCTGAGTTTTGTAAAACTAATGAAAAATGCGAAAATAAAAATAACATGTTACAATTTTCTTTCCACTATAGGTCCCAAATTATATAAACAGCCCACAACAAAGTCAAATCGCGGCATAATATTAAATGCTGTTGAATATTGTGTTTTCCCTGGAGTTGTCAACCGTGAGGCTAAGCAAAAAGTCCTCGATAAAATCAATCGGAGTGATGCAAAACATTTCCTTATATTATTCCGTGATGCCGGTTGCCAATTTCGTGCTCTGTACAGCTACTGGCCTGAAAATGAATCTGTATTGAAGCTTTACGGTACTGGTCCAAGTCAAGTAGATGAGTTCATGTTCGATAAATTTTTCAAGTAAGTCGTTTTTATTGCCGAATACATTTAGACACCAAATTTACATTAATAAATGAATGATTGTGTTACAGATACAATTCCGGTGGAAAATGTTTTTCACAAATTCATACGAAACATTTGACGGTAACAATCGATGCCTTCACAATTCATAATTCGCTTTGGCAGGGTAAAAAAGTCCAAATGCCATCAAAGAAGGATATGGCACTTGTCATTTAGGAATGTAAAGTGGAAGTGAATAGCAGCAAAAGTGACTTTTGACAAAAGTAACAAGACTAGGGAACTACTGAATACTAATCTGTTCATGACTAATAGGAAAAAAGAAATTCAAAATGAAAATGAAAAGTAAAGAAAAAAAAACAGAACAAAAACATTGTCTAAAATGTGGAGAAAACAATCGATTTGTTCCAAATATCATCATTTATTGTTTTAACATCTGAATAAGAACTTCAAGAATTTCCAGAACATTCGTTTTTTCTTCTTCTTCAATTGAAGTTCCAGTTCTGTTATAGTCATCAAGTACTAAATAACTAATAGATGCACATTAGACTGTCCCAACAAATTTTGAGGTCGTTGTTTTGTCGAGCGTATGTGACACTCAGAATGAGATTCTGACAACTCCAGTCTGATTTTTTCGAATCCCTTTCTCATATGAATTGTGAACTTGACAAAAACGACGACCTCAAATTTGTTTGGTACAGTCAAATACACATACACACACGCGCATGGAAAATTTCTACTTATACGATTGAAGAAATAATAAAAAAAGAATGTTGAAAAAATATTTTGTTTTAAATTAATTTTGAATGCAATTAAAAGACGAAGTGTAACTAGCCAGAAGTGTAAACAAATTATTTTTTATGTATCGCGCATTAAAAAACGCAAGTGAGTGTATGTGCATGTGTGTTGGATTAAAAACGGTTTAACATATACGATGCAGAACAAAACTACATAGTACATAAAACGGTGCTGACTAAAATTAATAATAATTGCGATGAATCTAATTTTCTTTAACTACAGTGCATTTGGTTTTAAACTACATGTATGAGAAAAAAAGATACTAGATTAAAATAAATTAATCAATCGAAATGTTGTTTTATTCATTCCGTGTAGCCAGAGAAGCTGAACATTTGGATAATCAATTGTTCAAGTAATAATAAAACAAGACCACGGAGCTTTGCTTCGGTCCGCGTTTTTGAGGACTTAGTTTATTCAATTTCTAGTTCTAGTTTTCTCTTCAGCAAACTATTTAATTCGCAATACATGAAATGTTTATTTATTTATTGGGTCCACAGCTTAATTCCCATCTGATGTACACAGGCCAAATCCTGAAAATCCATGGATCAGCCAAATTTCCACCGAATTCGTATTCTAGGCCACCAAACCAGCCGGATATCTAACTCCCTTTAGGGAGATACACCACTTTCCGTTTTGCCGATTTTCCCAGCCGTTTTTGAGATATTTCCATGTGTAAATATTTGGATTATTGGATTATTGGATAAGTGCAGGGAGTCAGAGACTCGTCGCTCAGGCTGTATTCAGTCTATTGCGAGGCGCCCGCTTTTTTCGGGTGGATTCTTTGCACACCATTCGTCGATTGTGGAGGGCCCATTGGTTTGTGATGTGCCTTGTACCTGCCAGATACGGGGCTCTGCGCGGGCTCCACCATGTCACTAGTGGGCCACATCACATTCAACATTTGGCACGCTCCTTATCCAATCTATAGAGCCAATTTTCTCTTGAGTTTTTCGATGGGGACATGCTTCTGATACTGATATACCGATGTATTCACCAATATCAGGCAACAACCTTTGGCGGCGATTGCAACCAATACTGAGTATTGGAGACAACAACCTAGCGTATAGGCGCCCCATCTTTACGTGCATTATTTGTACTCATCTTCTGTATATAATGCACGGGATCCGACGGCTTAAAGTGCCTCCCGGAGCACTCCACGGGCCTTAACATGGGTCGTATTCTCTCAATTCACAATCCCGTTGATAAAACCAATGATATTTTGAAGAGAAAAGATTTTCGACCACTATGCGATTCGAACCCGTGTCCCCACGCTTGCAACGTTAGCACGCTAACCAATACGCTACAGCTGGGTTGTGTAAATATTTAATAATATTATTTACAGGTGGGCGGAGTAAGAGAGTATAATTCATACAAACGGACAAATCAAACACTTGCAGTCAAGTATTTCTTGAATTTTTACATGAAAAAAGTCGTTGCACTTTGACATCAAAATAGTCGATATTGTGGCGTGTGACCAATCAGAGAAGGAAACATTTTAGTAGTATTGATGCGAAATTATTCGCAGTATGAATGGTCTATGTGCAGTATTCGGACATCGAATGTGTGCACTTCTAACGAATAGGCACCGCATAATACGCATAGTACGAAGAAATCGCCACATACTATGAGTTGAAGCGCATATTCTTCGCATAAAACGAATTTTTTTCGAGTTAAAGGGGTATCGTATCTGGTCGAGAAATCTTTTTTGGGCAAAAACGTGAAAATTGGGTTCGATCTCTCATTTGAGAAAACTAAAACATGCAAATTTTGTGGTCATTCTATTTTAGCCACCTATACCATTAAATAGGGCTCTTGAAATCCTATCGAAAAGACGAAAAAAATCGATTAAAACAGACAGCCCCGGGCAGCTGGTACTGGGATCAAACTTTGGAACCGATTTCTGGTATGGGTGGACCCATCCAGACCGGATGGGTAATAGTCTTGATCAATAGAGCTCTTCAAGCTGTACAAACACTGAAAAAATCTTATTAAAATTCTCTAGCCCACGCAGAGATACAGCTTCCCAAAAAATCATTTTTTTTCAGGATTTTCCCAACTTTGGACTATATCTCCGTAAGGACACCAAATATCATCAAAAATATTCCGGTTTTATGGGAAATGTGGGCGTTCTCCACAAAACTGGATTTGCCAGAAATCGATCCGGCGACCCCTTTGCAGAAAATTCCCGATTTCGTATGGAATGGTAGATCTACCAAATTAATTTAGAAAAAAGTCTGTTTTTGAAATTTTGAAAAATGTTTTGATATTGCCGCTTTTTGACTTCAATTTAAAACTGAATTGCCAATTCGCAACTTTGGAAACGATTTTTGATTTTGATTTTCGATTTTCCTTTTGACTTTGTTTCTTTTTAATTTGAAACAGTAGGTACAAATTTTTTGCCATTTTTTTGTTTAGAACTACAATGCGCCCCCGCAAATTAGAAAACCTCAGAAATTAGAAATTCACGGGGTTTTTGAATCATTTCATTCAAGACAAAGGGAAATTTACTTCATTTTTAATGAAAAAACGTAATGAAAGTCTTTTCCATTTCGTTGAATAACTATATTAGCAGATCAGCTTGAGATTTTCGACGTTTACCATGAAGTTAAAAATTAAGTCACGAAGTAATCTGTTCCATATTGTCTGCGTCAATCATCAATCATCAATCATTAACAAATCGAAACCGATCTGTTCCATCAGAGAATTTGCATATACAAAATTGTATATAGAATGCTAACGTTTTCTGTTTACTATCGTATGATATAATAAGAACAGCCGGTCATCATTTATTTCGGTTTGTTCCGAGGAGTAGTTTATCCAGTAAAATAAACTAACAGACTTACTATATATTTATAATCACTAAAATAAATACAATACTTGATTGAACAGTGTTCAATATATCGTTTTCAATTAAGCAAATCATTCTTCCTATCAGTCTTTCATTTGATACACCGTTTTTGGATGAAATTGAAAAATCCTCAGAAATTAGAAAACCTCCCAAATTAGAAATGGTCTCGGGACATTTTATTTCTAATTTGAGCGGATACACTGTATTAGAAATATTTGAAATTTTTGAAAAGTGTATTTTGATTAATGTCGGCTTGTTCTTAGGTATACAATAAAAGCATATACTCTGAGTATAGTTATGAATTTGTTAACAATGCCGGTTTCGGGCATGTAATGCATTCAATTGGCTTATTATTTGATGCCATCGCTTTCTTTCTTAATGGATAGAGTTGTTTTATCAACTTTGCATCTGGCAATGCAGGGACTGTAAATAACTTCATCCCTCGGCATTTTTTATCGTTCACATGATTTCTTTCAAAGTGACGTTTGATAATTGTAGCACTCGTAACTTTTTTGCATATTAGACATTCTGTTTTCGAACAGCGTATCCTTTTCGCCATTTATGGTAAAAACTATCTCGAAGCTTTAGTTCTTCTGGTGTTGTTTCAGACAAATGATTCTTCATGTGCAAGATTTCATGGAAATCTTTGATTTCGGTTCGGTTTTCGATGATTAAACCACTGAAGGTTGCTGACAATGGCGTCGAAAGTCGCAATGGGCGGTGAATACCTCTTAAAATGAAACTTTTTCCCGACTGAATTCACTTTTGAATGTTGTGATCATAGCCTGCTCAAGGTGTGCAACCGGATAGGGCAGCCGAACGAAGTGGCATCGCACTACTTTTCCGTTTAAATGTGCATTACGGAGCTCTTCGTACAGTTCAGCATTTTTGTTGTAGGTATTGTTACGTCCCTCTTTTCCCAGGATCACGATTCGCATGTGATTTTCCAGTCGGCGTAAGTCTGATGCATATTTTTGCTTACCCGAGCCACCACTGTATTGGATGTTTTCACCTTTGATTGCCTGTTCCTCTTTTTCTTGTACTGTCAAGATGTACGCCTTCCCGCTCAATTTTTGGTCATGGTATAGTTGGTCAAGTAGGTTAAGGATTCATGAATTTGCCAACCTAGACTGTTAGATTTTTCCGGGTTAAATTGAATTTCAGTCAACTATGAAAAAAGAAGAAACAAATGTTTGATTATTAGATAATGAAAAAAAAGTGTATATTGCGTACCAATTCGCATAATAGTTCTTACTTTTGGTCTTGAGCTTTGTGATATTTTGAAACCATCGCGTACTGCTGTGAAGGTTGTGCTCGTCGGTTTTTTGACTGAATCGATACAAATCGATAAGTTATTGAAGTGAGATACCATTGATTTTATTATATTGTCGATATTTATTTATTTTATTTATTTATTTATTATGAAGCCTACATTTATGCCAATATGTCTTCACAGCGAGCTGAGAACATGCTGGTCATAGACCCAATATGGCATAAATTCCGCCCATGGTGCGTCTTTTGCAAAGAGATTACAGTCAGGGGAGGGATGATATAAAAGTGAAGCTTTCATACCAGAATTGGGTCCGGAAAACCATGGCAAAACCGGCCCGATTCTGGAGAACCAGGGGAAATACAATGATAATGAGTTTTTACAATTAAAGTACGTTACCATCAATAGGAAAAATCAAATGAAAAAAACTAAAATCTAGATTGGATAAGAAATTTCATAACAATGGTCCGAGAATTCGCGATTTGAAAAATTTGAAAAATGTAAGAAAGTTTACTGCGTAGAACGTAACAGATGCTTTAGGTTATT